CTCAAGCAGTAGCGCTTGCCTGGCATGCGTGCGGCCCGGGTTCGATCCTCAGCACCACATACCAACAAAGATGTTGTGTCTGCCGAAAACTAAAAAATAAATATTAAAATTCTCTCTCTCTAAAAAAAAAGTTAATAATTCATATTTGTATGTATTTTTTAGTACTGGAAGGCCCACACACATGTGCTCTACCACTGAGCTTACACCCCCTCTTCCCCAGCTGAGTTATACTTCTTAGAGCCTCTCCTAAGGAATTAACTCTAAATATAGAAGAACATTGTACACAACGATATTCCTTGCAATGTTGATTATTTAATGGTTCAAAACATTTGTGAATGACATAAATGGCCAACAAAGGGTGACTGATTATGCACTTGGTGGGATTTTCATGTAATTTAAAACTCTTCAGAAACTAGATAATAATATGGGAAATAGTCATACAATTTTGAGAAATGTTAAATAATTTTTTAATGGGTATGTATTATATTTAAAAACAAAAATGAAGAAACAAAATCAAAGGGATTTACCCTAGAAGTGCATTTGGTTTCTGGCTCTTATACTTTGTGATTATATGATTAAGTTAACATTGAAGTTATATAGTACGGCACCCTACTTTTTCTAAGTATTCCATCCTGATTTAACTTATTTTTATAAACAAGCCAGGTGGTACTCCATTGTGAGGCATTTTTACTGGAGGGTGAGCCACACTTGTGGTGACTTGGAGGCCACCTTCTGTATTTTGCCTGTTTATTCTAGCTTTCTTCCTCTGCTTATCTACTTCCATCAGGTCACAGTTCTGATCTGATTTTTATGTGATGTGCAAAGAATTCTACCTCTCTATAGAAAAATTACAAGTCAAATTATTAATCTGATGGCTATTTTATAGCCATCAGATTAATAATTTTTTCAGAAGAAATGACCTCCTTGTTTTTTAAAATTCTAATTAGTTATACACAATAGCAGAATGCATGTCAATTCATTGTACACAACTGGACTACAACTTTTTCTCCGGATGTACACGATGTAGAGTCATACCACGTATGCAGTCATCATGTACCTAGGGTAATGATGTTCATCTCATTCCACCATCTTTCCTATTCCCATGCCCCCTCTCCTTGGCTCTCTCCTCTTTGCCCAATCAAAATTGCTTCATTCTCCCCCTACGCCATGCCCCCCACCCCCATCCATTAAGGGTCTGTATCTACTTATCATCGAGAACATTTGCTTTTGTTTTTTTGGGATTGGCTTACTTCGCTTAGTATGATATTCTCCAACTCCATCTGTTTACCTGCAAATGCCATAATCTTATTCTGTTTTAGTCTTGAGTAATAGTCCATTGTGTATATGTATCACAGTTTCTTTATCCATTCATCTATTGAAGAGCATCTAGGTTGCTTACTTTTTTTTTTTTTAAATTTTAATCTGATAATTTCAGAGAAGAACCTAACTACTTCCTACATCTCCAGCCCTTTTATTTTGAGACAGGATCTGTGTTGCTGAGGGTCTTGCTGGTAACTCTTTCTGGCACTGATTCAAGACAAAATATCTATTGTGCCTTTTACCATAGTCTTCCCTACATAGTCTTATTTTGAGAAAAAAATAATTTTTTCTTTGTGTGTTTATATGCTGGAGGGCTGTTTTTGGCTTAGACTATCATTCTGGTTAATAGGAACCTGGATTGTCCCCTAAGATGTGGGATTGCCAGCAGTTGTTTGCTAGAATGAATTTATCCATATCCTTTTTAGCAGTAAAATATTGGAAAGAAAATTATATGATACATGTCCTTGGATTACTGCTCTTTTTCTTACCAACAACTGCCATTGTTTTAATACTGCCTTTCTGGTCTTTAGGCTCTTGAAGAGGGATAGTTCAGATTTTGTAGCTGTTGCAAATTGTTACATAATTTAGTTACTCTGGGGCTGGGGATGTGGCTCAAGTGGTAGCAAGCTCGTCTGGCATGTGTGTGGCCCGGGTTCAATCCTCAGCACCACATACCAACAAAGATGTTGTGTCCGCCGAGAACAAAAAAATAAATATTAAAAAATTCTCTCTCTCTCAAAAAAAAAAAATTTAGTTACTCTGACAGCTCTTCTGGAAAACGTGTTTCTTTTCCCTCCCCTTTCTGTCTTTGGGTATAGGAAACAACTAGAAAAGTATCAGCTTATTCACAGGTCTATCCAGCCTTTATTAAAGTAGCCAGCTTCAGCAACTTAATGACACCTTATCTCAAAGTTAAAATGGTTGAGCCGGGGTGGGGTGGAGGGTGTGGTGGTGCACACCTGTAATCCCAGCGGTTTGGGAGGCTGAAGCAGGAGGATCACGAGTTCAAAGCCAGCCTCAGTAGTGTAGCAAGGGCTTAAGCAACTCTGTCTCAAAATTTTTAAAAAGGGCTGGGGATGTGTCTCAGTGGTTAGGTGCCCCTAGGTTAAATCACTGTGTTTCAGGCAGTATACTAGCTGCCTTAAGGGTAAAATAGATTTGAAAATGAAATTGAGTAACTGAGTAACTGTTCTATAGAATTTGAGAAAAGTATGGAAGTTGTTGCTTTTCTTTAAGATTCTAAACGTTTTTTTCAATTTGAAAAGGTAGAATTGATAAAGGAAATTGAATTCTGAATTTAAGTGTAACAACTTATAATAAAAGTTTGGTGAATTCATATTCTATAGTCCTACAATTTATTAATACAAAGAATATGTAAAACATAAATGGAATAATAAATGCATTTACATGTTATTTGGCCTGTATTTCTATTGGCTCGTTGGTGTTTTACAAATTTTTGTGAAGGTGGAGATTATGACATGTTTAGATTTTTCTTTTCAGTTTTATTTGCTTTACAATTTAAAATTCTAGAGCTGGGGATATATGTGGCTCAGTGGTAGAGAGTGCTTGCTCCAGTCCCCAGCAATGCAAAAACAAAAACAAAAACAGGGAACATCTGTGTATCAGTAAACATTATAAATGTTTCATTTTTATGTGGCAGTAATTATTATTATTATTTTTTTTTGGTGGAGATTGAACCCAAGGCTTAGCACATGGTAGGCAAGCAAGCATTCTACTATTGAGCCACTTGAGTTTTTTTCATTTGGCTTTCAAAGTTTTATTATAGTGGTCAAACAGACCAAAGTCAAAACACAGTGTTTTGGAAACATTTTTCCTAGTATGGTAAAGAATGTGAGGATAATATTAACCTTATAAAATTTGAGTGGAATTTTTTTTTTAAATTAGGGGTTTATTTATTTATTTATAGTAGAATGCATTTTGACATGAAGTGCACAAATGGAGCACATCTCATTCCTCTGGCTATACATGGTTCAGAGTCACTCCACTATTATAATCATACATGTATATAGGGTTTGTCTCTTTCTACTGTTCTTCCCATCCCCACAGCCCCACCCCTCACCTGACTCTCCTCTACATAAACCAAAGTTCCTTCATTGCCTAAATTAGGAGTTCTTAATCTGGGTTTCATAAAGTCAATGAAATGTCTGAAATTATTTGTAAAATTTAAGTGTATGAACATTTTTCTGCAGAACAGTCTATAGCTTTCCTCAGATATTCATAGGATAATGTGGCTTAAAAAGTGGTTTAAAACCATTGCTATAAAGGAATTTTAGTTACCTACATTTCTGTTGTTAGAAAATAGATAGGTATTGGGGCTGGGCTCAGTGGTAGAGCACCAGCTGTGGCTCAGTGGTAGAGCACTCGTCTGGCGTGCTTGGGACACCAAGTTCAATCCTCAGCACCACATAAAAATAAAATAGTAAAATAAAGATGTTGTGCCCACCTATAACTAAAAAATAAATATTAAAAAAATAGATAGGTGTACCTAAACCTTCCTTTGTTTTGTCTTAGGCTTTTCTGAATATTTGAGTGGAAAAGATAAAGTTTTGTTTTCTTTCCTCTTTACAACCTTTTTTTTTTCTGCCTTTAAAATCACCTTCAATAATTGTTTACTGCTTCCATAAGAATTTCTTTCGGTATTTTAGCTAATTGTCTGTTTTGATAATCCTTAAGTCACCTCAAAATCTGAACTGAGAAATTCACTGTTTGGATTCTGAATTCTGAAACTGAAAAAGAACATAAGCAACAGACAGGAGATTTTGAACAGTTAGAATGGTGGTTTCAGTCATACTTTTTTTTTTTTTTTTTTAAAGAACTTCTTTAGGGAGTAACGTAAGGGTTCAGGAAAGAGTCTGCCATTCATGGGATAGTAAGGATATGGAGAGTCAGTGGCTCTATTGGTGTAGCAGGGGAAAGTGAAAGTAGAGAAGTTGGCATTGGTGATCAGGCATTTCCTAAGTTCTCTGCCTTGCAGATTTTTTCTTTCTTTCTTTCTTTCTTTCTTTCTTTCTTTTCTTTTCTTTTCTTTTCTTTTCTTTTCTTTTCTTTTCTTTTCTTTTCTTTTCTTTTCTTTTCTTTTCTTTTCTTTTCTTTTCTTTTCTTTTCTTTTCTTTTCTTTTCTTTTCTTTTCTTTTCTTTTCTTTTCTTTTCTTTTTTTTTTTTTTCTTTCTTTCTTTCTTTCTTTCTTTTTGGTACTGGGGATCAACCCAGGGTCACTTTACCACTGAGCTGCATCTTTAGCTACTCCCCCACCACCTTTAAATTTTGAGACAGGGTCTTGGTAAGCTGCTGAGGCTAGCCTGGAACTTGTGATCCCTCCTCTCTTAGCTGCCAGAGTTGCTGACTACTGTACCTGGCTCTGTTTCATAGATCTGAATGGTTCACGGCTCTTTGTGGAAATGGGTCTTAAAAGAGTTGCTAGGACTGAGTGTGTAGCTGAGTGGCAGATCTCTGGCCTAACAAGGTTTTTGTGAGGCCCTGGGTTCAATCTCCAGCATTGCAACAGACAAAAAAACAAACTAAAAAACCAACAAAAACCAGAGAGTGTTGATATACTGAATTTAAACTTCAGAGAAAGTGGAAGTTAAGCATAAACTTTGTTAAGAAAGATTTCTGACTTGCCTTCTCTTTTTTCATGTGCTCTCCTGCTTTTTGTGCAGGTGGATGGAAGCATGCCTAGGAGAGGGTTTGCCACCCACCACAGAACTGGAGGAAGGGCTTCGGAATGGGGTCTACCTTGCCAAACTAGGAAACTTCTTCTCTCCGAAAGTGGTGTCTTTGAAAAAAATCTACGATCGAGAGCAGACCAGATACAAGGTGAGTTCTACTTTGCTTGGTGCTTAGATTTTTCTATAAAGTTGAGAAAGAAGGCTAGTGAACTGTATTCTGAGAGCAGTTGAGAAGTATGTGTAAGATGTGTTTGCTCCAATAAAGTATGGCCTTTAAAATACCTGGAAGAATGGAGGAAATAGTGCAAAAGAAATATGTAGTAGTAAAAGAACTTTKTCTCTCTGTGTTTCTGTTAGAATTCTCTTTTTGGTGCTAGGAATTGAACCTATGTCTTCACTCATGCTGGACAAGCACTCTGCCACTGAGCTATATACCCTGGCTCCAGTAGAATTCTTATGTTGCAGTGTGTCCAGAAATTTTCATAATCCTAGATGAAATTTTTCATTCTTGGAAAGTAGAGGAAGTAATTAGGGGAATTACTTTTATTTATTTAGGTACCAGGGATTGAACCCAGGGGCACTTAACAACTGAACCACATCTCTAGCCCTTATTTATTTATTTATTTATTTATTTATTTTAATTTTGAAACATGGCCTTTCTTAGGCTGGCTTTGAACTTGCAATCCTCCTGTCTCAGCCTCCCTAGCCACTGGTGGTATTACAGGTATGTACCACTGTGCCCAGCAGGAAATTACTCTTTAAATTTAATTTTAACCAAGTGCTGAGATTTATTGGCAAATAAAAATCCATAGCAACTTCAGGCAAAAGCATTACTCTGTAATATCCGATAATATGCAAGATTAAATGCAAAAATGACTCAATTTCAGAAAATTAAGATTAATAAAATGGTTTGATTTCTGTGACTCAGGGCCCTGAAAAAGACTATTAAACTAAATTGGAATGTTGACAAGGAGCAAATTTTGTTGTCTACAGAACTCCTAAAGGGACTTTGCTCATCAGCTCTTATTTGTAACAGCATGAGTATGAAAAAAATGGCGGAGGACAGCATAGCTAATGGTGAATGTAAGAGTGGTCAACTCTCAGAATTGGGCCATACATCATAATGAGCTCAGACTACAGATGATGTGAAGAAATATTTTTACATTGTGTGTTGAAATTCAGGTGAAAACAGAGAAGGTATAGACCCTAAACCAAAATTAATATCTTAAACAGAAACTTTTCTTAGTCAAAAAACAAAGAAAACACGTTGAGTTTTAAGTAAGCAGTTATTCTGAAGACAACTCTGGAGCTGTTCTTTAGACAAAATAGGATGATAAAGGAGAGTAGAAACTTCACAGCAATGATTTTTTAAAAAATATCCTATCTTTGTACCCCTCTTGAAAGTAAATCTTGTTCAGAAACAGCAGACATAGGGACAGTGGGTGTATGTAGCTCCAAGCTAAAGCACTTGACTAATGTACTCTCAGCCCTGAGTTCAAACCATACCACTTCTAAAAGAAAAAGATGTTTAGAAGAGGGTATTTTTATGTGTAATATGAAAACCCTGATTGATGTATTATAATATTTGTCATTTTATTGGTAACTTTTATTTTTTATATGACACATTAATTGCTTTATGTACTTTATCTCATAATCTTTTCAATAAATATATAAGGTAGGTGTTATAGAGGGGGAACCACAGACTGAAAGGGTGAAGTGACTTGTTTATGTCACCAGTTGATGCCATGAATTGAATCCAGGATTGTGAAACTCCAAAGCCTGTATTCTGTCAAGCACACTGTATACAGATGGTTTTCTGAGTAATTCCTAAGTGAGAGGGGCTCATGTATAAATTGCCTTCTTGGTATTGGAATGTGAATATAGTGACTTTAAATTTGAGGGGGAGCTTGTAAACTCTCAGGAGGAAACTTCTGTCAGGAGAGTTTTTATTTAGTATTTGCCAATAGTACTTAATGGCCTTTTATTTCTTCTAGGCAACTGGCCTACACTTTAGACACACTGATAATGTAATTCAGTGGTTGAATGCCATGGATGATATTGGATTGCCTAAGGTAACTTGCCTGATATTCATAGTTCTGCCTGTTTCAGTAAAATAGTTCTCATTCTACCTATAAAATTATTCTCAGGATGTTTGTTTTGTGCTACTGAAGATTGAATCTGGGGTGCTCTACCATTAACCTTCATACCCAGCCTTTTTTATTTTGAGATAGCCTCTTGCCTTAAACTTTCAGTTCTCCTGCCTCAGCCTCATGAGTAGGTGAGGATTATGGGAATGTGTCTCCTTACTGGTGGTTAATTTTTTGTTTAATGCTAAAGATTCTTTTTTTCTTTTCAATTTGTTCTTTTTCTTTTATTTCCTTATACCTGTTTTGTTTTACTCTAGTGAAATTCCCTATGATGATAATTACTTTTACTACATTAGTTTTAAGATTTACATTAAAGTGTTTTTTCTTAAATAGAATTTATATACTCTAAACTTCATCATTTTAAAGTGTTCAGATAGTGGCTTTTATTTATTCACAAGTTATTACATTAAAAATATGAAGTTAGGCCAGGTGTGGTCATGCACATCTATAATCCTAGCATCTTAGGAGGCTAAGACAGAAGGATTAAAAGTTCAAGGCCAGCCTCAGCAACTTAGCAAGGCCCTAAGCAACTTAGTGAGGCCCTGTCTCAAAAAGAAAAAAGGCTGTGGTCATAGCTCAGAGGTAAAGCACCCCTGGATTATATATCTGGTACCCATCCCCCCAAAATTAAATATATATATATATATATATACACACACACATATGTGGAAGTATTTTAGAGATGTCATTTTCCAGCTTCAGAGTAACCAAAATTCATAGGTTATTTTATATTTCAAATTGTCAAGGCAATATAATGACATTTCTCCCTGTGTCTGTTTTTGGTGGTGGTTGTATAGCAGTATGCATATTCTGCATTTTTTCTCAGGAGTTTATTTTTGTGCTGCTATTAATGAAATTGCTACTCAGTAGATACCCATAAAGGCCATGTCGTCCTTAGAGGCATGGTTAAGTTTGTCTTTGACCTACTTTTAAGAATTTATTTTCCCTCAAACAATTAGAAAAACACAAAAGATGTATTTGTAAGGATTTTCCAGCCTGCTTATAATAGAAAAATTGATAGCAAATCACTTGTTCCTTCACTAGGGATACTATTGGTGTTAGTCAAATATGGGTGCCATTATATGTCCGCTTATGTAGACAAAGGAGCTGTCTTCACTTATTAAGTAGGGGGAAGGAAACCAGTTTATGGTGTTATAAGAGCTTTTGTCTGGCTAACTCATTTCTGTGTGTTGGGATTAAGAGGTGGTTTTTATCTTCATTATATGTAGCTGTGGAGTCCAAATGTTTATAACTAAAGAAAGAATAAGAATAGTGATGTGTGAAGTATCAGAAAGTGGCTTACACCACTTGGAAATGAATATTTGATATTTAGTGTACTGCTGAGCTCACTGTTAGCTCATGTCTGTTGAAATGAGTTAAATCCAGAGCTGAGTCTTTGTAAAAGACCAGCTTTTATCCTCTTTTTTTCAGAGCAGAGTGCTAAAATTCTGTTCCTTGCCACTGTTTTGAGAATTAGGCCCTACAAATGTCAGGAAATGCAATGTGTCAAAATGTTTACAGCTGCTTGGCCTTTCTGTGCACCTGTAACTTCCTGTTCCTGTTTTTTTATATAGTGTATCGCCAGTGGTCAATGACAATTTAACTTTTGTTGAATGGTACTAAGAGCTTTTTTAATATTTGCTATTTGGTAGTGTTATTACTATAAGATGCCTTCTTATTGATGTAATTTTAATTACTTTTTTGTTTGTTTGTTTACTAACAGTAGTAACAAACATAGAGTTCCCCAAAGGCTTTTAGGGACAGCATGGTAATCATGTCTGTAGCCTTGGAATATCTACCTTACATGATATAGGTCCAGAAGGCTTCTGGGTAACATGAACTAAAGATACTTCAGCCTAAAAATATATTGGTATCCATAAAATAATGTATGGTGTGTAATTTACAGTGCATATGTAGTGTTTTGGGATGTCTTTCTTAATCTCCTTATGATAAATATAGAAAATTAATACAATGATCTTTTGCTTCCTATCCTTTCTTTTTTTTAAAAAAAAATTTTTTTTAGTTATAGGTGAACACAATATCTTTATTTTATTTTCATGTGGTGCTGAGGATCAAACCCACTGCCTCACACATGCTAGGCAAGTGCTCTACCATTGAGCCACACAACCCCAGCCCCTCTTCCTGTCCTTTCTGATTTTTTATTATAATTGATATTGTTGGCCACCTTCTCCCTGAAATCTTTTCTGATTTTGAATAATTAAATTGTTTTTAATTTGCCCAACTAGTCTTGATTACTTGAACTCTTCCACTTTGGATTAACTTTGTCAATGGGCATTTTTAAAGATGCAGTCTTTTTTTTTTTAATATTTATTTTTTAGCTTTCGGCGGACACAACATCTTTGTTTGTATGTGGTGCTGAGCATCGAACCCGGGCCGCACACATGCCAGGCAAATGTGTTACCGCTTGAGCCACATCCCCAGCCCCAAGATGCAATCTTTTTAAAGCTATTTCTCCCATTTTTGTGGGTTCCGTTATTAAGATTCATTTGCTATAAGAAGAACATGGGGGGCTGGAGATGTGGCTCAGCGGTAGCACGCTCGCCTGGCATGCGTGCGGCCCKGGTTCGATCCTCAGCACCACATACCAACAAAGATGTTGTGTCCGCCGAGAACTAAAAAATAAATATTAAAAATTCTCTCTCTCTCTCTCCTCTCTCACTCTCTCTTTAAAAAAAAAAAATCACAGACAGAGCCTGGTATACATATAACTGTGGCTTACCTTAAAAAAAAAAAAAAAAGAAGAACATGGTACCTTCAGTTGGTTGCAATCATTTCTCCTTGGATAGCTTTCTATTACCTAGAATTTTTTATATCTAAAACTAAACCTTTCTTTTCCCCAAGTAAACATGCCCTTCTCTATGACAAGTGAGACCATGTCATCATTATTACAGTCATCCAAGCTTAGAACCTTGGTGAGATCTTAGTCTAACCAGTCATTTCCAAAACCTTCTTCATTTATGTGAGATTATCTCTTTTATCCATCCACTGTTTTATATATATAAGAACTCCCCGGCCTGCCTCTCCAGCTCCAGTCTTTTCATTATTCAATATATCCTATGTCCTGTCTCCAGTCAGATCTTCCTAAAGCTGTTTTTATCCTTATCCTTAGTTCCAAAGTTAGGGGTTTTCTTTAAGTCCTGCTTATCAAGGTCAAAATTGTCTGGCTTTTAAGTTGCTCATAGTAATCTGATTCCATCATCCTGACCCAACCTTATTTTTCTATTATTTTCTAGAAGATATTCTGTATATTCTTGAAAGCAATGGGCTATATATTTCCTTACTCACAAATATGGTTATTCTTGCTTTAACTTATTCTTTTTTCTTGGTATCAGGGATTGAACCCAGGGGCACTTTACCACTGAACTATACCCCCAGTCCTTTTATTTTTTAATTTGAGGCAGGGTCTGAGTTGTTTAGGGTCTCATTAAGTTACTTTTATTTTTTATTAAGTTACTGAGGCTGGCCTCTAACATGTGATCTTCCTGCCTCAGTCTCCTGTGTAATTGGGATTATAGGCATGCACCATTACACCCAACTCTGCTTCATTTGTTCTTATAGTTTCTCTTGGTTGGAAAATCTTTTGCTGTCTATTATGATTTACTCATTAGTTTAGGACTTCATAGTCTGTTTTCATAGAGGTCTTTATTACTCTCCAGATTCTTCTAATCAACTCATTATTCAGTCTTTTGCTTCCTATCCTCTGTTACCCTTTATTTCTCTAAATCACAGATTGGGTTGTATGATGCCACTCTATGAGAGAATAGGTCTTGAAATTCAAAGCTATTGCCAGTCTAAACCTAATGCTGTTGCTATTCTACCTCATTGGTTAACCTGTCAAATATAGAGGTGCTTCAGTGACCCTGCTCTGAATTTGACATTAAATTAGCAGTAACATAGACCTAGTTCCCTGCCTTCCTGGGGCTTTTAGTCTGTTAGAGTAGCCATTACTGATAACCATAGGTAATTAGTTAATTGCACTAAGTGCTTTCAGGGAAAAATACCTGTCTTCTACATTCCCATATCCATCCTCTACTATATATACTTTATTTTTCTATCTTTCTACTTCTTCAAAGTATTATAGTACATTTCATATTTAATGTTTTTTTTTCAGTGTCTAAATATAGTAGTTTGTATACACTAAAAAGCATATAGTGTTTGTTGTTGAAGTATTAATCTGACATAGTAACTAAAAAGATTGTGGTCCTTTAACGCCTCATACATTTGCCACTGATTTAAACTGAAATAGAACTTGGGTTTCATTTACCTGTGTCTGGATCTGAAGTAACTAAATCACTTTTTACACATCTAATGAAATTCAGTGAGTTGACCAAATAAGGATTCCCCAAATACTTTTCATTATGTATTGCCACATCTTACTCCTTGCAATGCTTATGATGAAATGTTTGTTCAACCTAATGAAGTGATTTGCTGAAAGCCAACAATGTTTTCTAATTGTCCATAATTTTATTTGTTTTATCGATGATTGGTGAATGATTACATGAAATCAGTGGATGGATAACTTACTCTGCTTGTTTTATTTCTTCCTAGATTTTTTACCCAGAAACCACAGATATCTATGATCGAAAGAACATGCCAAAATGTATCTACTGTATTCATGCACTCAGGTAATTAGGTTTTCTTGGTAAAATAAGCAGTTTAGGAATGACATCTCAATTGAGTGTGTGTCTTTGTCCATTGGAAGAGTGAACACATTTTTCCATTAGCTTCAGGATTTTCAAATAGGATAGAAAGCTGCTAACCTCATACAATGGTGAAAACAGCTGTGTTTTTCCAGGGAGTAGAAAGAATGGATTTATTTATTCCCATAATAACAGATAGTTTTGTTGTAAAAACACGGCAAAATCTTTCATTATTGATCTAGTGTCTCTGTGACCTCCGAATTTCACACGGTTGCTGTCTTTTGTTTAGTCATCTAGGTCCTTGCCATTATTAAGCTATTGTTCACTCATTCAGTAATTTTTATACCAACATAACTATGATAATAGGAACTGAAACAAATTATTTTTTGCACAGCTTCATGGTAAATTGGGAACATGACTTAATTTCATATCCCTCATTCTTAGAATCAACAGGTGTATTCGATTGGAAGGAAAATGTGATATCTCTGGAGGGAGGGGGGGAATGGGAAGAGAGGGGATGCCTATTATATACACTACAGCAATGTAGAATAACGTAGTATTTTAGTAGACTTATTTGATGGCCACAGGACTAAAGGAGAAGATGGGAAAAGTGAGTGAGACATGAATATGAGATTTCTTTGTTTGGATTGTACCTTTTTAGATAGCATCTTATGTGTGTGCTTAATAAATGTTGATTACATGAATGAAGGTATTGTATAATATTGATCTATAAGAAGCCTATTGTCACTCCATGGGGTGCTGCACACTGTAATCCTACCTATTCATCAGGAGGCTGAGATAGGAGGTTTATAAGTTTGAGGTCAGCCTGGGCAACCAAGAGAGACCTTGATTCAAAATAAAATTAAATAAAAAGGGCTGAGGGTATAGCTTAGTGGTAGAGTGCTTGCATAGTATGCACAAGACCCTGGGTTCAATCCCTGGTGCTACAAAAAAAAAAAAAAAAAGAAAGAAAGAAAAAGAAAAGAAACCTATTTTTCTGAGTTTCTCTTCTTTCATTTTTATTCCTGGTGCTAGAGATTGAACCTAGGGCTTCACACATGCTAAGTACACACTGTACCACTGAGCTACAACTCCAGCCTGTTTACAGTGTGTTGATCACACTTAATGCTGGTATCATTGGAACCAATGTGAAACACACAAAAGAATGAATACAGCTAAAACTAGTATACTCTTGTATTGAGAATATAGCAATTTCATATGTGCGTGTGTCTAAGCCAAAATCAGATTAATTCTGAGATTGTGATTGGCTTGATTTTAATTTTAATTTTTTGTCAATAACCTTATTAAGATTGTACCTATAATGGCTTTCTGAACTTGGCAAATGCAGAGGTTAAATTGGCAGAATTTCTCTCTACTAGTACTATAGCAGTAATGTAATCAGGGTCCCAGGCTTCAGTTCTCTGAAATACAGATGAGGATTAACTGTACTTTTCTCATGATGGAGTCAGAATGACAAAAGGGGGCGGTCCACTATTGTTTTCCATTTCTCTTGCATATGCAGTCTATGCTTAGAGAGTCTATACAGAGCAGTGTGTTCTGATTTGAGATTTATAGTTTCTTTCCTCTCATTTGGTGTTTTTCCTGAAAGTGGGTTGGCAACACTTGATGATTAAGTAGGAAGTGTGTGTAATTTTTCAGAGCCTCTTCTTTTACCATAAAACACAACAGTGTTCCAGGCATGTTCCTCACCTCACACGTATTGGGGGTGGCATGACCTCCCTTTGGATCAACTGTGATAAAGAAGTATTATTTCTGTTTTCTTTCTGCCCGCCCTCCCCCTTTAAAAGTCATTTTTTTAAGGCATTATTCCAGGCATTGTCATTGTACTTCAGTCATAGTTATTTTTTTTTTAATTTTTTTAATATAATGGAAATAAATTCTTTTTTTATTGATTTTTAAAAAAATACACGACAGCAGTGGAATGCATTACAATTCTTATTACACATAGAGCACAGTTTTTCATATCTCTGTATATAAAGTATGTTCACGCCAATTTATGCCTTTATACATGTACTTTTTTTGCATTACAATTCTTAATACACATACATACCACAATTTTTCATCTCTGTTTGTATATAAAGTATGTTGACACCCAATTCAAGTCTTCATACATGTACTTTGTATAATGATGTCTATCACATTCCACCATCCTTGCTAATCCCCTGCCCCCTCCCTTTCCTTCCCACCCCTCTTCCCTTGCTAATCCCCTGCCCCCTCCCTTTCCCTCCCACCCCTCTTCCCTATCTAGAATTCATCTAATCCTCCCATGCTCTCCCTCCCTACCCCACTATGTGTCAGCCTCTTTATATCAGAGAAAACATTCGGCATTTGTTTTTTAGAGGATTGGCTAACTTCACTTAGCATTATCTTCTCCAACGCCATTCATTTACCTGCAAATGCCATGATTTTGTTCTTTTTTAATGCTGAGTAAAATTCCATTGTGTATATATGCCACATTTTTTAAATCCATTAATCTACTGAAGGGCATCTAGGTGGGTTCTACAGTTTAGCTATTGTGAATTGTGTTGCTATAAACATTGATGTGGCTGTGTCCCTGTAGTATGCTGTGTTTTAGTCCTTTGGGGATAGTCCAAGGAGAGGAATAGCTGGGTCAAATGGTGGTTCCATTCCCAGATTTCCAAGGAATCTCCATACTGCTTTCCATATTGGCTGCACCAATTTGCAGTCCCACCAGCAGTATATGAGTGTACCTTTTCCCTCACATCCTTGCCAAGACTTATTGTTGTTTGTCTTCATAATAGCTGCCATTCTGACTAGAGTGAGATGAAATCTTAGAGTAGTTTTGATTCACATTTCTCTGATTGCTAGAGATGATGAGCATTTTTTCATATATTTGTTGATTGATTGTATATCTTCATCTGAGAAGTATGAAGATGTTCAGGTCTTTGGACCATTTGTTGATTGGGTTATTTGGTTTTTGGTGTTTAGCTTTTTGAGTTCCCTAGCTTTTTTATATTCCCTAGAGATTAGTGCTCTATGTAATGTGTGAGGGGTAAAAATTTGCTCCCAGGATGTAGGCTTTCTGTTCACCTCACAGATTGTTTGCTGAGAAGAAACTTTTTAGTTTGATTCCATTCCGTTTATTGATTCTTGGTTTTAATTCTTGAGCTATACGAGTCTTATTAAGGAAGTTGGGGCCTAATCCCACATGATGAAGATTGGGCCTACTTTTTCTTCTATTAGACGCAGAGTCTCTGGTTTAATTCCTAGGTCCTTGATCCATTTTGAGTTAAGTTTTGTGCATGGTTAGAGATAGGGGTTTAATTTTATTTTGTTGCATATGGATTTCCAGTTTTCCCAGCACCATTTGTTGAAGATGCTATTTTTTCTCCACAGTCATAGTTATTTTTAAAGATAACACTCTATTCTCCATTATTCTTAATATATTTGTATACTTTCCATTTCCCCCAAAGTTTTGCTATTCTGAAAATACAATGGAGATTTGGGGGTGTGTAGCTTAGTGGTAGAGCAGTTGCTTAGCATGCAGGAGACCCTGAGTTTGATCACCAGTATTGCCAAAAAAGAATTCATTTGGGGGTCAAATAGGCCCATAATCCCAAATTTTAAAAAAAAAACTTAATATTGGGGCTGGGACTGTGGCTCAGTGGTAATGCATGTGCATGGTATGTGTAAGGCACTGGGTTCGATTCTCAGCACTTCGTATTAAAAAAATAAAGATCTATCAGCAATTTTTAAAAAATTAAAAACAAAACAAAACAAAAACTTAATATTTCTGAAAATAAAGTTTTAGTGCAAGCTCTTTTGTTGGCAAAACCTGAAAAGGATTAATTGAGGTTATTTAGAATATTTATGTATACTTGTATGTTTCTCTGCAGAAAAGCAATGTATTGATTAGGGGTGCTGCCCCAGCGCGTCCTGGGAATATCTTCTAATACCATGTACACTATAGAATCTTTTTAATATTTGAAACATTTCTACATTGATGCATGTCTGGCTCAAAGAATTTAGATAAAGGACTGTGTATGGATTCTGTTTACTAATCAACTGTCATAAGAGTTTTTATTAATAATCTTTGAGATTAGTTTATTGATTTCTATTTTACTCTGCGTCAGCAAAGATAATTGGAATCTAGATTAGCTAACATAGCTTGCTTCTTGCTATTGCTACAAAGTGTAGCTTAAATAGGGAAAAAGAAAAGTCTAAGCTTAATGACAGGCTGACCAGATACAGTTGTTTTAAGTTATAAGCATGAAGCAGCAGGAGTGAAGGTTGGGAAGTAATGTTCACTGTTAGGGTTTTAAAGTTTCGGGTTTGAAGCTAAGTGCTTTTTGTGCTGGATTAGAGTATCTGAGTGGCTATTATGATTCTATTTATAGCTCCAGTGTTTCCATAAAATACTCTTAAACACTTCCTAATAAGTAAGGAAAGGTACAAGAAAGATGGTGCCCACACTCCTACTTTTTTCATCAGCCAGTGGTATCTTTGTACACTTTTAATTTACCATCAGATGAGATTAAAAGTGACATTTTATGCCTCTTGGGCTATGAAAGTAATGTACTTAAATTTTTTAAAATGTGGCAGCCATTTTTCTATTTTATAATGGAAATAAAAGGGGAAGAAATTCCTGGAGAAAATACCCTTACTACTGGGCACAGTGGTGCATACCTGTACTCCCAGAGGCTTGGGAGGCTGAGGCAGGAGGATTACAAGTTCAAAGCCAGCCTCAACAACTTAGAAAGGCCCTAAGCAATTCAGAGAGACTCTGTCTCTAAATAAAATGTAAAAAAGGACTGGGGATGTGGCTCCTTGGGTTCAATCCCTGGTACTATAGATAGATTGATTAGATAGACAGATAGATAGGGCTAGGGATATAGCTCAGTGGTAAAGCTCCTCTGGGTTCAATCCCCAGTACAAAAAAAAAGATTAAATACTGTTATTAATTAGAATATAAGTCAGGCATATTAGTGGAGAAAATATATAAGGGGACCTATTACATGTATAGAAAGTTATTGATTATTTTTATTTTGCTCTGGAAAACTTCTTGAGTAGTTATAAAATCTTCTGAGAGAGCAACTTTATATGGTTTCATTTTGAATGTTTTGCCCCAAAGGAAAGCACTTAATCATATACATGGCACTTCTCTGAGAAAATATTTAACTGCTATGGATATATAAACAATGTTTATATATAAACATTGCTGTGGATATATAAACAATGTTTTCAGAAAATTCAGTGTGTTTTCAGTTCTACATTTGGGTATATTGTATACAATTTAAGTTTTGATCAGTTCTGTGATGCCTATATATATTTAAATGATGCTGAAGTTTATAAATAATTTGAAAAAACTGTAGACAATTAAATTTCTAGGATTTGTTTCTGATGTATTTTTTTGTCTTCTCCCTTATTGTTAACTGTCAATGTCTGTGAACTATCCATTGGATCTCTTCTAACTTACCGATTCTAGTCTGCTATAGTGTTATAATACACTAACCTTACCCAAGTTTACAAACACTTTCTATATCTGTGAGATATTGATTCATATTTATGATCTATAGGCTCTGAGTGGATATTAGTGAATGAGACTTTTATTGTCCCTTCTTTCATGGAGCTTAGAGTCTAATGAATTTCTTTTCTTGGTTTGTTTGTTTGTTTAATTTAAAGATTAAGATACATAATATGTACTTTATTTAAAACTCTTGAATTTCCTGAATTAAACTTTTATATCAATAATATGAATTCAGTGTAAGATTTACTGTCTCAGAATGACAATTTTTCATGACAGTTTTTAAAGTGTCACCTAAAAGTTATTGATTATAGGAAGATAAACAGAAACCAGGAGACCTCACTAATATTAGTTATGTTAAATTTAATACACCTATGGGCTGGGGATGTGGCTCAAGCGGTAGCGCGCTTGTCTGGCATGTGTGCGGCCCGGGTTCGATCCTCAGCACCACATACAAAACAATGATGTTTTGTCCGCCAATAACTAAAAAATAAATATTAAAAAAATTCTCTCTCTCTCTCTCTCTCCCTCTATCACTCTCTCTAAAAAAAAAAAAAAATACACCTAATTATACATTATGTTTATGCCAGAACTTGGATTTGAATTCATGTCTGCTGATTTCCCTGACTGCCAGTTTTCTTTAAGAGCAGCAGGTAGGTACTGCTGGGAGGCCTAACTCTTGTATATTATGTCTTCTAGTTTGTACCTGTTTAAACTAGGCCTGGCTCCTCAGATTCAAGACCTTTATGGAAAAGTTGACTTCACAGGTAAGGAGCTACATGCTTGGCAGGAAATGTTTGATTTATTTGAAACAGGCTGGAAAGTCAGCAGCACCAATTTTAAGGAACTAGAGCTTTAAAAATACTCTGGAAAAAATGATGAAAGAAATATAAATAACTTGCCTTTCTTAGTATGATGGACAGAACACTGAACTTGGAATTTCAGGCTGTGTTCTTTCACTTACGACATAGGTGTGGTTAGTGAATCTATTTTCTCATATGTAAATTGAGTAATTTTAATATGTAATATATATAAAACATAATTGTATTAATATCTAACATTAAATGTTCATGAATGGTAAAAATAAAGTTTATAAGTCCTTCCCATTCTATTGTGGGCAAAGCAAAGGCAAATGAATAGGAAGTGAAAAGATGCAAAGATGGCATTTTAGTAATTTTAAAGTTTAACCATCTTTGGGTGGGTGTTTTTATACATATTAGTCTTTTATTCCTGTTACAAAATACCTGAGACACTTTATAAAGAAAAGAGGCTACCAGGCACATTGGTGCACACCTGTAATTCCAGCAACTCCAAAGGCTAAGGGAGGATCCCAAATTTAAGGCCAGCCTTGGCAATTTAGTTATTCAGGGAGACTGTCTCCATATTAAAAAAAAAAAAAAAGGTGGGGGGTGGCTGGGGATGTAGCTCAGTGATAAGAGCTGGGTTAAGACCTCAGTTACCCCGAATCCCCCAACCCCCCCCCCCCAAGAAACAAGGCTTATTTAGCTCATAGTTTTGTAGGGTGAAAATATAAGATCAGGTGACCCCACTGATTTGGTTTGGCCTCTGGCAGATGGTATGGCAGAAGCATATCTGTGAATAGGGGATCACCTTGCAAGAGAGGTGCCAGAGAGCTAGGTGGGGCCAGAATTTTTTACAACAGTGTCTTCTGAGAACTAACTCAAGGTTAGTTCCAGAGCTACCTTCCTCCTGAGATCAGTATCACCAGTGACCCTAAAGCCTCCCAGTAGGTGCCACCTCTTAAAGGATCTACCACCTCTCACATTATTGCACCTAGTACTGAGCTTTTAACACATGAACCCCTTAGGGACAAATTGGTAGCATTATGTGTATTTTTTGTAGTCAGGTGCTTGAAGAGGATGCTTGGGAAAAAAAGAGGAGAGGTTAATATTGGTTAGGGGTAAAAGAGATTCAAGTCTTTTGAACTAGTGATTATTTTTTAGGCCTGGGAGTTTAAGAATTGATAAGAAAGCTTTTATCTATGACATTTTTCCTTCCAGGGAAGTTGTTGACCAGATGTGGGGCAAAGGTCAAACCTTACTTGTTGTTTTCTTTATCATTTGGCTTTCTGTCTTAGAAACAAAGTTATGAGTAGCAGCTACTGATTTGGATTTTAAAGACTGAGATAACTGTGATTCACTTCTTGAGCTCCCTTTAAAGCTTCCATTTATAAGTTAACTGTAGGAAATGCCATAAGTAGCAGTTTTGAAAAACTTTCCCATAGGGTCTTCTCACTTTATAGTTAATGTTTAATGCCTAATTAATGTTTATTGATTACAAATTATATAGTAGGTACTATGTTACATGCTCCCATATATTATTTCATTAAATCCTTTTAATAACCCTAAGGAGTAGATGCCATTTTCTCTCATTTTATAGCTAAGGAATCTGTTTCCTTCTCTGAGTTGTGAAAGGGTGCTTAATTTGCTTGGTTGGATCTTCATTCTTTTCTGTAGAAGAAGAAATCAACAACATGAAGATTGAACTAGAGAAGTATGGGATCCAGATGCCTGCCTTCAGCAAGATTGGGGGCATCCTGGCTAATGAACTGTCTGTGGATGAAGCTGCATGTAAGAAGAGAGAGATTTTCTGGGTTCAAGTGGGATTGTTACTACAACTTGTAGTGATTAATACTGTGGTGATGATCTTGGACAATAGGAATTCTGCTATCAAGCTTAAGTCTGTAGATGGGATTTTAAACATTGCTATAGTCTTCCATGCTATTGTTATTTGGAAATGAATTCTCAATTTTGATTAAAAGAAAAACATTTAGAAAGTGAGTTCTATATTTCATTGCCTTTTTTTCTTTAAAAAAAATTTTTTTAAAGATATTGATAGACTTTTATTAATTTATATGTGGGGCTGAGAATTGAACCCAGTGCCTCACATATGCCAGGCAAGTGTGCTACAGCTGAGCCCCAGCCCCAKCCTCCATTTCATTGCCTTTTGAAGGGTTTCTTTTTTTCTTTATGGTATTCACTAGGTCATTAAGGGTGAACATTTTCCATACCAAATAAATGTTCCTTCCAGTGTTCCTTCATGAGTATTTCCCTATGTGACTGTAAATTCAACATGGATCACAGGCAGAGCTGTGGCTTTGTGCATCAGAGACTAGGTTTGCAGGATCTAGGGAGCTACTCCTCTAGCTCCAAGTGTTTTTACTCTTATCTATGCAAAGGAACCTTTTGCTGGGTGTGGTCACACACACCTGTAATCCCATCAACTTGTGAGGTTGAGGCAGAAGAATTGCAAGTTCATGGCCAGCTTCAGCAATTTAGTGAGACCTTTTCTCAAAACTAAAAGAAAAAAAGAAAAGAGCTGGGGACATAGCTCTGTGGCAAAGCACACTGGGGTTCAATTCCCAGTATAGAGAAAAAAAAAAAAGTTTTTCTCTGTAATAGGGGATGCAATGTTGTTTTGTATCTGTTTATATCCTTTAGTAATTTCAGTATTCTATGCTTTGAAATTTTTCTTTTTCTTTTTTTTCTTTTTTTTTTTTTTTAGTACATGCTGCTGTTATTGCTATTAATGAAGCTATTGATCGTAGAATTCCAGCTGACACGTTTGCAGCTTTGAAAAACCCCAACGCAATGCTTGTAAATCTTGAAGAGCCTCTGGCTTCTACTTACCAGGACATACTTTATCAGGCCAAGCAAGACAAAATGACAAATGCTAAAAACAGGGTAAAAATGGAATATTTTTATAATTAATTTATATTCTTCTATCATTCGGTATGATTCCACTTTAAAAAACAGTTTTATTGAAGTATAATTTACATACAATAAAATCCATGCATTTTAAGTATACAATTTGAGTTTTACAAATGTATGTGGCCGTTTAACTATTGCACTAAAGAGTTCCCTGACTCCCCTTTGCAGTCAATCTCCATCTGCCCATCCCTCCTCCAGACAACTACCAACCTGTTTTTCTCAGTATATCATACCATTTCTAGAATTTCATTGAAATGCAATTATACAGTATGTAGTCTCTTGGTATTAGGTTCCATTTTGACCTCTTGTTTTCTTTTTGAATTTTGTGCAAATGAAGTTTTGGATTGTGGCCATTAAAAGTTAATTATATCCTTTGGAAATATGATTTCCAAATCATCTTTCCTAGCCCCTCTGGAGTGAATTTTTTTTTTAACCATTGTTATCACTATGTAGAAGTTAGCTGAATGATTCTGACTTGAAAAAGAAAAATGAGGCTAAGACTGTCTTATAAGATTTCACTCAAATTTATTCACCCCTTGAAATTAATGATTAAAATGTTTCAGTTCTTTGGAAAGTATCCAGATGATAAAATGAAGTCAACTCTGCTCTCAGAATATTCTTTAAATCTCTTATCATTGAGAAGGGATTTCAACCCCCAAAACAGATGCCCAATTGGTCTGCAGATTAGTAATTGCAGCCCTGCCCCTGTTTGTGCCACCAGTGAAGCTCCAAGATTGGTACCCATGTGTGCCTATTCTGCTCACGTCTGAGGCAAGATGTGGGTCATTAGTCCCACCACCTCACAGGGTTTGTTCAGTGCTTCCTTCACTTGTCTAGCTCTGCAACATCCCAGTGCTTATTAACAAGTAGATCTAGTCAGATTTTTAGTTGTAATCACGCAGCATTCTGCTCTTTTTTTTTTTTTTTAACAAAGGATTGAAGTCACATACACACTTGTTCTTAATTGTGTTGAATGGTGGTAGAGAGGTACAAATGTATTTCTGTGGTCTTCTTAGAGACCTGAACTAATTTAATTTTACTTTTTACTCATCCTCAGACAGAAAACTCCGAGAGAGAAAGGGACGTTTATGAGGAGCTACTCACTCAAGCTGAAATTCAAGGCAATATAAATAAAGTCAACAGTAAGTATGTTCTTGAATAAGCACCTAATGGGATATTACAGAATAATGTTTGTGTTGTTCTACTCTTGGACTTAAGACATGGTTTAGCTGGGCGCAGTGATCCATGCCTGTAATCCCTGTGGCTCGGGAGGCTGAGGCAGGAGGATCAGGAGTTCAAAGCCAGCCTCAGCAACTTAGTGAGGCTCTAAGGAATTGAGCCTCTGTCTCTAAATAAAATATTCAAAAAAGGGCTGGGRATGTGGCTCAGTTTTTAACTGCCCCTTGGTTCAATCTCCAGTACCCTCACCCACCCACATCCCCCCAAAAAACAGAAAGAAAAAGAAAGAGACATGGTTTAATTGTAGACATTAGTGGATTTGTTTAGGAATGATTATTTATTACAGTATTGTGTATTCTTGTTCTGTTTGAACTATCATTGCCCTCAGATAGCCCTTGTTCTTAAACCTGCAAGGGCTTCTGGACTCTCTTTTTTGATTCTTTTATCCTGTTAAAAATATTTTAAAAACATGTTTTCTGACCAGGCATGGTGGAGCATATCTGTAATCCCAACAGAGGATTGGGAGGCCAAGGAAGACGAATCACAAGTTGGAGGGCAAGTGACTTCTGTCATGGAGCCACACCCCCAGCTGTTTACTTTTAATATTTTGAGTTAGGATATCACTAAGTTAATCAGGCATGCCTTGAACTTGGAATCCTTCTGCCTTAATCTTCCAGGTATCTGTGATTACAGGTGTGGACTACCATGTCCAGCTCCTCATTTTTTCAAACATCTTTGTAAATTCCTTCAGTTAGAGATTATTCTGCCTCTTTTGAAATTTTTATAATTCCCAGCATAGTGTTATACATAACAAAAGAACAAAAATTTTTATTATAACCCAATTAGACCACATTTTGATTTGTTTTGCTCAAGATAATAATATAGTAATCATTTATTGGAGGTGCTAATTTTGTTGTTTGAACTAATAATAATACTCTTGATAACTAGAGAGGAATTTTGAAGAATTTTATCAACTCCATTTGATATAGAGGTCTAAATCTTGACCAAGATTCTTTGTATTCTATTATATTATGGTTCATTTATTTAGGATAATGACCTTCTGAACAGAGTAATAGTTCCCTTCAAGTATGATTGATTTCTTGTGCTGTATCTCTCTGAATACTTAGGTTAGCAAATATAAACTGGACTGTGCTTATACTTAGTACTCTGTATGAGAAGAAAGTCCAGCATGTTTCCTGTTGCATAGAGTACATAAAATATTTTTTTGCTTTACTAAGGAATTTTTCCTACAATATTGTTCAGGGTTTTATAATGTTTATTGCTTTACCTTGCTAATTATATGAGAATTATAAACTTGTAAGAAAATAATCATAAGTGTGTATACTCAGCATTCTATGCACATTGTTCTGCTATGGTCACAGAAGTTCTTTCAAATAAACTCAATATAGTGGGAAAGGTAGCCATACAAATGAATAATTTCAGGGCAGCTTTATTATAACAAGGTAGCAAAGATACATGAGGTGCAGTCATAAAGAAGGGAATGGAGACTTCTCAAGGTTGGGGTAGGTTTTCAGTGCATGTGAATATTCACTGAGATTCTTAGGAAAGATAAGAGGATGAGGATAAGACAGAGAAGGACAATCTTTTCCTAATTTTATTTTATTTTATTTTATTTTTTTTAAAGAATTCAACTCCTCTTTAAATTTTTTTTTTTTAAGAGAGAGTGAAAGGGACAGAGAGAGAGAGAGAGAATTTTAATATTTATTTGTTTTTTCTTAGTTCTCGGCGGACACAACATCTTTGTTGGTATGTGGTGCTGAGGATCGAACCCGGGCCGCACGCACGCCAGGCGAGCGCGCTACCGCTTGAGCCACATCCCCAGCCCCTCTTTTCCTAATTTTAGAGAAAGTATGAGGCATATTATGAAAGTATGAGGAATATTATGTTCTTAGGAAGACTTTCTCATCTTAAGTAATTATAGAGGGTTTTTTGTTGTTGTTGTTGTTGTTAGGGTATGAGAACCAGCAACACTGCTCATTAACACTGCCCCAGAGGAAATCTGCAGGCTGAGTAGTTAGAAACCAGAAAATATTTTATTTTTTGTTAAGTAGAATAAGAAAATTAAAGTTAATAATTTAAGTTCAGTGAGAGAAAGTATTTAAATGTTCTATTCACATTGTTACATATGAAAGTAGTAAATTTATGCTTCCACAGAAAGCATAATTGACTAGAGGCTTTTGTAGCAAATACTCAGATTCTGTAGTTCATACTTAGACAAAATCTGGTTGCTCCCTGAATTGATTTTATTTTCTGCCCCTACTATAAAAAAATAATAAAAATTTAAAAAACCTCAGTGAGGATGGGGATATTTGTTTTGTTAACTGCTGTTTTCACAGCATATAGCAGGACCTCGGTGAATATTGTGGAAGGAATAATGGCCATGTAGACCTTCAGCTGTGATTCAAGAAGATTATGTATACCTTGGCTCAGGGCTCAGGTAGTTGAATTACAGGTATAATCATTAGGAAGAAATAAGAAATCTCCCGGGAACCTACAATGAGATCATAAATCCAAAGCAGTTTTTTCTTTCTTTTACCTTTTGGTTTTATTAGTTCTGCTTCTCCCCTATTGTACCTGCTCCCTACCCCCATAGTAACAGGCATATGTTTATTGAAGGAATAGGAAAAGGGAAAGGGGACACTTGCAGGGAGAGACTGGATCCTCTCCGAGGGGAGAAGGGCCGCCATTTTTCATTTTATTTAAGACTTTATTTTCCCATGGGTTGTTTTGTCTTTCTAAGAACTTATATTAATAGTTGATTTTTTAAATGAAATCATTTTAAACTAATAAGTTTTGTTATGACCTAGATATTTTGAATTTTTGTGTTTTATTGGTTTCTTTTTGCTCCATTGGTGATAAAATCAGATGTTCCTCTGTGAGTAGTGGAGTAATAGTCCATTTTTTTTCTAAAAAAGAAAAAAAAGAGGGCTGGGGGTATAGCTCAGGTGGTTTAGTGCTTGCCTAGCCTGGGTTCAATCCCCAGCACCACAGTACACACACACACACACACACACACATATAAAACAACAACAACAACAACAACAAAAAAAAACTAAAAACAATAAAGTAAGTATAATTTCTGACTGGGTATAATTTCTGAAATCAGAAAGTATTCTAACTTTGAACTTAATAACACCTTATTTATTTTACAATATATAAAGGGCTTTCATGGGTATTTCATTTAATCCTAAAAATCACTCTATCAGCTCAGCATGATGACATGAGCCTATATTCCACAGTACTTGGGAGGCTGAAGCAGGAGGATTACTTGAACCCAGGAGTTTGAAACAGCCTGGGCAACATAGTAAGATACTATGTCTTTAAAAAAAAAAAATCACCCTATTAGGGAGGTATCTTTACTATCACATTCAGATGAATGAATATCTGGGTTTCCACTGTCAGATGTTACATTAAAGAACTTGTGTGACATTGGAGTCTATGGTTGGAAGTAGAAAATATTTATTTAGTTGTTTGTTTTTTTTTTTCCAATGTGGTACTGGGATGGAACCCAGTGCTTCATGCATGCCAGGCAAGTACTCTACCACTGAGCCACAACCCCAGCCCTAGAAGTAGAGGTTGAGAGGGGAAGACAGCTCCTTCCACTCTGCACTTGATGTCTGGACACTGACTACCATGGCTTGAGTGTTCAGGAAATATCAGGATAATGAATGGATTCAAAATGTTGTATAAGAAATGGTTGAAGAAACTCAGGCTCTTGGTAAGGAATGCATTGTCATAGGAAGCCAGAGGAGTTAGATATATTCTGTGTGAACTCTAGGGTGGGAACTTTAAAAAGTCTTTGAAACAAAATTGTCAAAAATGTAGTAAATTGTCATATTCTATACTTTTATCTGTTTAATAGTCTATAAACATGATCTGCTGAACTACTGGGCATTTTAGAAAGTCTGGATTGGTGGCTTCTATTAGTKTCCATTATCAGTGCCAAGCTATCTACATCTGGAAGCTTTTAAGTAAGCTTGGGTGTGGCTTAGCAATCTGTATGGAATTTGGTGAACAACCTGGTTAAGACCCCCTGGACTGGATAACTTTAAGATTATCTTCTAATGCACAATGGAATTTTACTCAGCCATAAAGAAGAAAGAAATTATGGCATTTATTGGTAAATGGATGAAACTGGGGAACATCCGTGCTAAATGAAATAAACCAGATTCAGAAAATCAAGGGTCAGATGTTCTTCCCATGTACAGAAACTAGAGCAAAGTAAGGGGAATAAAAAAAGGGCATGGGTAGTCAGATATCATAAAGACAGAGGGAAGATCAGCAGAGTAGGAGATTGACTGGAAAGGGGAGGAAATACAGAATGAATTTCACAAAATTAGGTTATATCTATAAAGTGCCAATTAAATATATAAATGAGTGGAAGGTAGACCAGTAGAATAGAAGAAGGGGAGTAGGTGGAGGGAAAGTGGGGGACACTGGGGACTGAAATAGACTATATAAATTCCATGCATAAATGATTATGTCAAAATGAAGCTACCTATTATGCACAACTATAATGCACCAATAAAAGCAAAAAAAAAAAAAGTATCTTCTAATCCTAAAATCCGAAATATTACAGATAAAGGCCAAATAATATTCCCCTAATCTGGAACTGAGTTTGAGGCTATTATACTAATATGGTATCTCTTTTTAAAGCCTTTTGTCTTTTTCTTCCTCCTCAGCATTTTCTGCATTAGCAAATATTGACCTGGCTTTAGAGCAGGGAGATGCCCTGGCCTTGTTCAAGACTCTGCAGTCTCCTGCTCTGGGTCTTCGAGGACTCCAGCAACAGAACAGTGACTGGTACTTCAAGCAGCTCCTCAGTGATAAGCAGCAGAAGAGACAGGTGAACATACTCTGGGTGGAACCTGCAAGAGTTCCTGTACATCCATTTGATTTTTGTTTGTCTTTGATATTGGGCATTGAACCAGGTGCATTAACCATTGAGACACATCTCCAACCCTTTTTATTTTTTATTTCAAGACAGGGTCTCGCTAGGTTGCTGAGGCTGGCATTAAATTTGCCATCCTCCTCCCTCAGTCTCCCTAATCACTGGAATTACAGGCATGCACCACTACACCCAGCTATTTACATCCTTTTGAATTTCATGCTGTCATTTAAAGATATGGCCTTTTCTTATTCCTAATCTCTTTTCCATCATTAGTTGAAAAAAACTTTCCTTAGCTAAATTATACATTATCTTCAGCCCTCTTTTGCTTTTAGAGCTGTGAATCCTCTTTTAAAATAATTAATACCTGAATCTAACCACTTCTTCACTTCAGTTTTCCTGCTCCTCCCTGAGAAAAAGCCTTTGAAGGAAAACAAAATCTGAATTTTTTTACATTATTATTTGGGAATTTCCACTTTAAAACAAACACACACCACACACTAGTTTGCCTTGGCCAACACTGGGAAAATACTTAATTTTTTCTATGGGTAGATTATGTGGAATTAAATTTTGTGGAGTTTTGGGTTTTTGTTTTTTTAAAGAACAAACATGAAGGGCTTTCTTTTTTGTCTAAATAAGGGCAAATATACATTTTACAAATTCTCTGTATGTTGGTTAGAGAAAGTAGCATTAATGTGCTCTAATGATTCTGTAAACATTTTCTCTCAGAACATTTTGATGCTTTTCACAAAATAGTTTAAAAAATGTGCTGATATCTGGAAAGTCACTGTAGTCCAGATTTGTCTCTAGCCAAGCTGATACTTGGCTCCATGTAGCCCGTAGCTGTCACTTGTGTTCACCCTGTGTCTGCTGCTAAGATATGAAAACTATCAGGTCTAGAGGCATAGGCATGAGTAATGTCTTCATAAATGTTCTTTGCTTTTCTCAGAGTGGTCATACTGATCCCCTGCAAAAAGAGGAGCTGCAGTCTGGAGTAGATGCTGCAAACATTGCTGCCCAGCAATATCAGAGAAGTAAGAATCCTCTCAGCTGGGTGTCCCCTGAAATATTTAGGATGGGAGGAAATTTGTGGCTTTATGTCAATAAGGGTGTGAGATTAGCATCTATTACCCCTCACCCTCTGCCCCAAGCCTACTAGCCATAATAACTACCAAGTACTTTGGGAGGCTGTAGGGTTCTTCCATTTTTTTTTGGTGGGGTGGGAAGTGTTGGCGTGGGTACCAGGGATTGATCTCAGGGGCATTTGACCACTGAGCCACATTCCCAGCCCTATTTTGTATTTTATTTAGAGACAGGGTCTCATTGAGTTTCTTAGTGCCTCGCTTTTGCTGAGCTGGCATTGAACTGGCAATCCTCTTTCCTCCGCCTCCAGAGCTGCTGGGATTACAGGCGTGCACCACTGCGCCTAATGGGTTCTTCCAGTTTTAAAAGTAGAAGTAGAGTTAATGCAGGCTAACTTTGGCCAATAAGCACTTTATAGTCAGGGAAATATCTAGAGGAGGAGATACTAGATTGGTAAAATTTGAATTGTGAATGAGGAAAAGAAGAATGTTCCTTATGTGAGACAATAAGGAAGAAAGTGGGAGCAGGGGTGCAAAAGGTGAGCAATTCATTTAAGGAAATGGTGGTTAGAATAAAATTTTTATATATGTTTTGGGTTGAATAAAGTCAGACAAAGTGTTAGAAAAGACTGTGGAATGCTTTGAATTGTAGCCTAAGATGTATTTGCTGTACTCCAGGGGAAAGAAAAGATGTTTTAGGTGGAGATAATAGTGGCATATGGGATGAGTTGAGTAGAAAGAAAACACGGATGAGGAGAATGATTAGGAGGCTGCCCTTATTGAAATATGGTTCACATGTCATACATCATACAAAAGAAGCAACATTTAAAAGATGAAAGATCCACTTCAAGCTTCATAGCCTGATATTTCATAGCTTCAGTGAAAATTGTCACCTCCTTTCCCATAGGGCTCTCTAAGCCTGCTGCATTTCTGACCTCCTATTTTCTGCATAGGATTGGCAGCAGTGGCAGCAATTAATGCTGCAATCCAGAAGGGTGTTGCTGAGAAGACTGTTTTGGAACTAATGAATCCTGAAGCGCAGCTGCCCCAGGTGTATCCATTTGCTGCTGATCTTTATCAGAAGGAACTTGCTACTCTGCAGCAACAGAGTCCTGAAGTAAGTTAGTCAATCCTCTCTTGTTTGTAAGCCAAATGGGGTGGAAGTAAATTTAATATCCACATCTTAATAAGCTTAGGTAGAATGTTTTTCCAGAAACTTACTTTTCTTATAGTTTATTTAAACTTCCGTCTCTTTTGGTATTGGAGAATACCTCCACTTACTGTGTTTTCTTTCTCCCTTTCTGTGCAGCATAACCTCACCCATCCAGAGCTCTCTGTTGCTTTGGAGATGCTATCATCAGTGGCCCTAATCAACAGGGCACTGGAATCAGGAGACATTAGTACAGTGTGGAAGCAATTGAGCAGTTCAGTTACAGGCCTTACCAACATTGAGGAAGAAAACTGTCAGAGGTGGGTGCCCACAGTAAATGCATTGAGTCCATTACATTCCTGATATCCCTGCATTTCATCTATCTTCTCTTCTGTTTTCTCTGCAGGCATTATGACTATAGTGTAATCATTCTTTGTTGTTGTTGTTGTTCTGCTTTGATTCTTTTTATTCTGTATTAAGCTGAAGCATTTACAGTACATTACAGATACCATGATGTTCCTCTCCTAAATACATGTACTTATCTAAATTTGTTATATAGCCAAAATAACACTGTACTATCAGCAATATTAATACTTCTTTTAATATCTTCTAAATTTTAGTTTTTTGCTTTTTTTTTTTTTCATTCTTGTTCAGTTGTTCCAAAACTGTCCTTTATAACTGGTTTATTCAAACCGGGATCTAGACCAGGACCATGTGTGGCATCTGGCTTATGTCCCTTAGGTTTCTTTTAATCTAGAATAGGTCCTCTTTTTCATGACACTGACTTGTTAATGAGATGGGGCTAGTTGTTCTATAAAATTTCTCATCTTATGTATAGTTCTAGGAGCTTTCTCATGTTGCTTATTCTTATAAATTGGAAATTGGATCTAAAGGCTTAACATGATTTAGTTCACCATTTTTGTGATGTGAATATGATATGATATCAAAAGACATGTAAGATCTGTTTTTTCTTCTATTTGAGATTCTTAGATTTTATCCTTGGGTCAGGGAGACAGTTTAAACACCATTGCATATTTTTTCCTTTAACAACAGGATATCATTTCTTTTTTTAAAAACTTTTTTTTTTTGAGAGAGAGAGAGAGAGAGAGAGAGAGAGAATTTTTAATATTTATTTTTAGTTTTCGGTGGACACAACATCTTTATTTGTATGTGGTGCTGAGGATCGAACCCAGGCTGCACGCTTGCCAGGCGAGCATGCTACCGCTTTAGCCACATCCCCAGCCCCAGGATATCATTTCTTTTTGAACCTTTTACAACGCTCCTTTCCCATTAACTGTTCACAGAATATTTTTTAACCCAATAGAGAATTTTTGCTTAAATCAGCACTTTAAAAGTTGCTGAATAATGATTTGTTCATCTGTCATTGCTTCTACATTTATTAGCTCATGTGTCTGGTTGAGGAGGTGCTGGGAATTTAGCTCAGGGCCTCATGTGTGCTAGGCAGATGCTCTACCATTGAGCTACACACCCAGTTTTTTTTTTTTTTTTTTTTCGTCATTAAAGGAATTGCTTCAGTTGTTGCCCTTGATTCTATACATAACAAGCTATTGAATAAGTGACTTCCTTACATTTTCACATTTTGTTTAAGGGAACTCCTCAATCCCAAAACTTGCCTATAGATTATATATCAAACAGTTGGGGTACCCTAGAGTTCCTTTGTTCTTTGAGTACTTTGTTCCTTAGTCTTCTCATTTCTGTTATAATCCTGAAGGTCTTTTGTTCTTGATTGGGGTTGGGGGCAGGTATCTCGATGAGTTGATGAAACTGAAAGCTCAGGCACATGCAGAGAATAATGAATTCATCACATGGAATGATATCCAAGCTTGTGTGGACCATGTGAACCTGGTGGTACAAGAGGAACATGAACGTGAGTAATCATCCTGCCCCTCTAGTAATGTCACTATTTTTATTTATTTATTTATTTATTTATTTATTTTTTGTAATGTCACTATTAAAGATGATGCAATTTCCCTTTTCTCTCCCTTGGGAAATTGCATGGAAATGGAGGGAGACCCTCATTGTTATACAAAATTACATATAAGAGGTTGTGAGGGGAATGGGATAATAAACAAGGAGGGAAATGAATTACAGTAGATGGGGTAGAGAGAGAAGATGGGAGGGGAGGGGAGGGGGGATAGTAGAGGATAGGAAAGGTAGCAGAATACAACAGTTACTAATATGGCATTATGTAAAAATGTGGATGTGTAACCGATGTGATTCTGCAATCTGTATTTGGGGTAAAAATGGGAGTTCATAACCCACTTGAATCTAATGTATGAAATATGATATGTCAAGAGCTTTGTAATGTTTTGAACAACCAATAAAAAATAAATAAAAAAATAAAAATAAAGATGATGCAATTTCCACGAGCTGGTTCTAGATATCGTTGCTAAAATAACTTTTTTTKGGGGGGGGGTACCAGGGATTGAACTTGAACTTGGGGGCACTCAGCCACTGAGCCACATCCCCAGCCCTATTTTATATTTTATTTAGGGACAGAGTCCCACTGAGTTGCTTAGTGCCTCGCTTTTGCTGAGGCTGGCTTTGAACTTGTAATCCTCCTGCCTCAGCCTCCCAAGCTCCTGGGATAACAGGCATGTGCTCTACACCTTGTTAGAATAACTTGTGTGGGTGTGTGTGTGTGTGTGTGTGTGTGTGTGTGTATGTATGTATGTATGTATGGTGCTGGGGATTGAACCTAGGGCCTTGTGCTTGCAAGGCAAGCACTCTACCAACTGAGCCCCTAGAATAACTTTTGAGAGAAAAATATTTATAAAACTCAAAAAGCTAAGGTTGGGGAGCTGGGGTTGTGGCTCAGCGGTACAGCACTTGTCTAGCATGTACGAAGCACTGGGTTCAATTCTCAGCACCACATATAAATAAGTAAATAAAATAAAGGTCCATGAACAACTAATAAAAATATTTTTTGAAAAAAGCTAACATTGGATACTGTTTTCAAAACACTAGGCAATTGCTATAGTTAGGTATGAATCTAATAAATAAGTTTGAGGTACTGGAGATGTAGCTCCAGTGGTAGGACACTTATTTAACATGCATGGGGCTCTGAGTTCAATCCCTAGTACTGCTGCCAAAGAAACAAAACAAAACAATAAGAATAAGAAATTTGGGGCTGGGGTTGTGGCTCAGCGGTAGAGCACTCGCCTAGCACGTGCAAGGCCCTTAGAGCACTCGCCTAGCATGTGCAAGGCCCTGGGTTCGATCCTCAGCACCATATAAAAATAAATAAATAAAATAAAGGTATTGTGTCCAACCACAACTAAAAACAATAGATATTTTTTAAAAAATAAATTTTTCAGGAGGTGAATTGAATGTGATATGTTACTGTTAAATGCTGTTTTTTGGTGGGTTTTTTTTTTTTTTGGTATGTGTGTGTGTGTGTGTGTATATATACACACACACACACACACACACACACACATATGTGTATATATATATGCTCAGGTGGAGGGCACTATCCTCCACAAGAATCCTCTTGCTTTACACACCTGCTCAGGTGGAGGGCACTATCCTCCACAAGAATCCTCTTGCTTTACACACCTGCTCAGGTGGAGGGCACTATCCTCCACAAGAATCCTCTTGCTTTACACACCTGCTCAGGTGGAGGGCACTATCCTCCACAAGAATCCTCTTGCTTTACACACCTGCCTTAAGTTCCAGGCGGGGTTCTTAGGTCACTGTACTTGTGAACAATTGGCTATAAATTTGGGGGTTCCTTCTGTCCCCTCAGGCTCAATAGTTTGCTATTGAGAACTGGAAAAAGTGCTAGACTTATGATAATAGTTTTATTACAAAGATATAAATTAGGGCAATCAAATGAAGAGACCCATAGGGCAATATTTGGGAGGGTCTCAAATACAAGGCTCTGTGCCTTCAGTTCGTGTCTTCCTCCTGATATTGATGTATATCACCCACCTGAGAAGCTCACCAGAGCAGTTTTTATTTGGGCTTCATTATTTACACATGGTTGACTGAATTAATTGTCCATGTGATTAAACTCAGTACCCATTCTGCTTTCTCTTCCTGGCARTCAGGAGGCCAGGCTGGTATCACATGACTCTAAGCCCCAGTCTTAACAATAATGTGTTTGATCTTTCCAGCATGGCTAGTTCCCATCCTCAAATTACCTAGAGGCCACTAGCAGTTGTTGGTTAGCATAAAGGCAGCTTTGGTGTGAGGATCCACTATAAAGAACACAGATACACCTGTCACTCAGATTATTCTAAGGATTTTAGAGGCTCCCTCCCAGGAACTAGGGACAAAGACCAGCCAAATTTTGCACGTATAAGAGTCCTTATGAAAATACACAGTTACCTAAATACTTCTCATTTTAATTTCCTTTAAGAAATAACAGCTCATTCAGAGGGAAAGAGATTTGCCTTGGAATGGTGGTGGTGATGGTGGTGGTGGTAGTGGTGGTGGTGGKGGGGGGGCTAGGTTTAAATCTTCCATGTGCCTCTTGTTTAATATATTATCTTAAGAGAAAAAATTCTTAAACTTTCTCTTCTATAAAAATATTTAATTAGGGGCTGGGGTTGTGGCTCAGTGGTAGAGTGCTCACCAGCACTAAGAACCCTTAAATTCTGACTTTTTATGAGTCAGGAGTAGTTAATTACATTTTTTTAAATGCAAATATTTCACAATACTGAATTTTTAAAAAATACCTTTATTTATTTATTTATTTGTGTGTGTGTGTGTGTGTGTATGTGTGTGTGGCTGTGGCTGAGGATCGAACCCAGGGCCTTCATGTGCTAGGTGAGCACTCTACTGCTGAGTTACAACCCCAGCCCTATTACATATTTGAATGTACCTGAAAGCTATAAAGCCAGTTTCATCAAAATTCCCTGTCAATTTTAAGTTAGAAGAATTAAAAAAACAAAACAAAAAAAAAAACTTTGGCTTTCAATAGGAATGAGTATGAGGGACTCTAGATTAAATAAGAACTAAATTATTATTTTTTTAAACATTTTCTTTTAGTTGTAGATGGACACAATACCTTTATTTTATTTATTTATATGTGGTGCTGAGGATCARACCCAATGCCCCACGTGTGCTACGCAAGTGCTTGACCACTGAGCCACCATCCCAGCCCACACTAAATTATTTTTAAAAAGTATTTCTTACTGGTTAACAAATGGTGGTCTGATTCATGTTTACTCTGGTGGACATATGATTAGCATGTTTCAAGATTTATTTTTAGAAAGAGATCTCAGCCAAATTTGCCAAATTTTATTCTATTGTGTGTATGTGCTAATATGTAACAACAAATCCACCTTTATATACTATTATAATGCACCAATAAAAATGGGGAAAAATGGAAAATGAGTCTCACTATATTGCATATGCTGATCTTTTTTTTTTTTTTTTTAAGAGAGAGTGAGAGGGACAGGGACAGAGAGAGAGAGGGAATTTTAACATTTATTCATTTTTTCTTAGTTCTCGGCAGACACAACATCTTTGTTGTTGGTATGTGGTGCTGCTGAGGATCGAACCCGGGCCGCACGCATGCTAGGCAAGCGCGCTACCGCTTGAGCCACATCCACAGCCCCCATATGCTGATCTTGAGCTTGTGGATTCAAGAGGTCCTTCCCCCTCAGACACCTGAGTAACGGCTACTACAAGTGTTCACCACCATGCTTGGATAGGATTGATTTGTTTATACATTTTGTAATTTTAAAAAATAACCTTTTTCTTTGTATATCTAGGGATTTTGGCCATTGGTTTAATTAATGAAGCCCTGGATGAAGGTGATGCCCAAAAAACTCTGCAGACCCTGCAAATTCCTGCAGCTAAACTTGAAGGAGTTCTTGCAGAAGTAGCCCAGCATTACCAAGATACACTGATTAGAGCAAAGAGAGAAAAGGCCCAGGTGAGCAGTGTTGGATTTATTCTTTTTGTTTAGAGCAATTCATCCTTTGTAAAGATGGGATGTCTCCTTGATGTATTTATTGACAATTTTCTGGTCCCCCATAGATTAAGAGCACTGGAGAGAATGAACTATGAGAATTAGAGACTCCACTTTCCTGAAGTTCATGCTATTTTACATATTTGGGGTTTTGTTTTTGTTGTTAGTTGTAGACATTTCTCTTAGGGTAAATTCTTTATTGAAATATAAGATCCAGAAAAATGTACAAACTATATAAGTATTCAAGTTACATAAATTTTTAAAACTTAACATGCCTGTGTAACTGGTATACAGAGTATAGGAGGCATTACCAGCACCCCTCAAATCTCCTTCATGTCCTCTGATGCCCTGTCCATTCTGCCATTTGGTGGTAACCACTATCCTGATTTTTAACACCATAGCTCTTTTTTGCCCATTTTTAAACTATATTTAAATTGAAACATACACTATGTATTCTTTTGGTATTAAGCTTCTGTTGCCCAACATGTTAGTGATGTTCATCTGTGTGGTCACATGTAATAATAGTTTATTCATTCTCATTGTTTTGTACTATCCTATTGTACAATGATGTATTCTATTATTGGTGAAATTTTGTTTTGGTTTTTTTTCCCCCGTTACTGGGGATTGAACCTATGGATGCTCTACCACTGAGCATTTTATTTATTTATTTTATGATTTTATTTTTTGATACTAGAAATGGAACCCAGGGGTGCTTTACCATTGACTGCATCCTTAATCCCTTTTATTTTGAAACAGAGTCGTGCTGAATTGTCCAGGCTGGCTTTGAACTTGTGATCCTCCTCTGCCTCAGCCTTCTGAATTGCTGGGATTACAGGCATGTGTGAACATGCCTGACACTTTTTTTAGACAGGGTGTCCCTAAGTTGTGGAGGCTGGCCTCAAACTTTCATCATCCTAAAAAGGAACCAAATCATGCTATATATGTTCTTTTGTGACTGGCTGCTCTCCCCCGCCACCTGTAATGGGAATTGAACTCAGGGCTATTTTCAATCAGGCCCTTTTTTCAATTATGAAACAGGGTCTTACTAAGTTGCCCAGGCTGGCCTTGAACTTGCCATCCTCTTTCCTCAATCTCCCAAAAAGCTAGGTTTACAGGCATGCACCACTGTGTCTTGTGTGACTAGCTTCTTAGATGTAGCTTGATTTATTCAACTGTAATATGTATCAGTACTTCATTTTTTTTTATTACTGAATAATATTCTGTTGCAGACATTTTATTTTTTTTCATTGATAAATCAATGGCTGTATAGGTTATTTCTACTTTATTTCTATTAGGAATAATGCTGCTATAAAAGTGCTTTTAAAATTAATTGTACAAACCCATCTTTTAAAAAGTTTATTGGTTGTGGTTCCTAGCTAGTTTGTTGGGGAAACTGAAAATAATTTATACTTCTTTTTATGCTGTTGTTGTCTAGGAAGTTGCCTTGTATGTAGTAGGCCTCATGTATTAGTTGCATGATTAAAACATAATTACATCTACTGTGATCTTTTAAATTCTTTCTAAGTAATAACAGCTAAATAGGAAGAACCATGGCTTCCTTTTCTGACTTAGAAAATCCCTCAAGTGATATTCTTAGAGGGACTTGAAAAGCTAAAAGGAAATTTTAATTCAAGGAGTCGGATTCTTTCTGGGAAGTCAGAGATAAAAAAAAAAAAAATAGCTGAAGGCTCTAGTGTATGGGAGGAGTTGCTTATACACTGACACCATGCAGGCACTATAAATTTGGATTGGAGTGAAGGAGTTGTGGATAATATTATAGTGTTAACTGATCTCCTTTGATTCCCTTGCCATGAGAGTAGTTGACAATTTACATGTCCTAATCACGTGAGTGTAGTGGTTGTAGGTTTTCTTTAAGAGGCACATTATTATGCAGAATGTCACCTGATCCCATGCAGAGGGTTGAATCAACTCCTATTTCACAGGCAAGAAATGGAGACTAAGGGATCATCTGATTTCATGTATTTGAGTAAGAAGGAGTTGGCTTTGGAGAAGCTAGAATCTGAGGTCTCAATCTTTCATTTATTCGTTGAACTTGGCTAATCATCAGAAAAGTAATTTAAAAATACATATTTCTAAATTTTAATTCTACTGATTTAGAATATCAGCTGTGGGGCCTGGCTGCAATGATTCTGTATAGTTTGGAGGTAATAGTGTTTGCTTTCAGGAATGTCCAAAGGAGCCTTATATCGATCGGACTGTCAGAAGAGTGGAATTTGGGAGAATATACTAGGTTGAGCTCCATATCTAAAGAGGAAAGTAGATAGTACAGAATGTGCATAGTCCTCACTCATGTTGTAAGGCTGTTTGCTCTTTTTTTAATGGTATTGAGGGTTGAACCCAGGGATTCTCTACCACCAAACTATGTCCTCAGCCCTTTTTATTTTTTATTTTTGGGTTTCCTTAAGTTGCCAAGACTGGCTTCAAACTTAACAATCTTCTTGCCTCAGCCCCTCAAAGTAGCCTGGGATTACAGGTCTGCTTCACTTTGCCTGGCTCTGTCTACTCCTTTTGTTTGCATCATGGGAGTTAAACTTTAAGAGGATGTGAGTGGAGTTTGAAGCATTTCCTTTTGCTGTGGAATAACTTTTCAGAGTTCATCAAAGTGGAGGAAGGGTAGAGTTGAAGAAAAATTTGCTTAACTTTGTCAGGTCCCAGCTTCATCAACTACACTATAGGTGGAATTGTCTTTTTGAAGCTTCAGAATTTTTTTAATATTTATTTTTTAGTTATAGGTGGACACAATATCTTTATTTTATTATTATTATTATTATGTGGTGCTGAGGATTGAACCCAGGGCCTCATGCATGCTAGGCGAGCACTCTACCTCTAAGCCACAACTCCAGCCCTGAAGCTTCAGTTTTTCTTCCAAGTTTCTATGAGTCATTTTGGGAATGGTTTTAAAAATAAATATCACTGCATTCCAAATTTTGTAAGCAAAATACCTTCATTTGTTTTCTTGTAGTATCTTTGTGTATACTCTTGGTACGGAGTAATACTGGTCTTATAGAGTGATTTGGAAATCATCCTATAAGGAATTATTTCCTTATAGAAAGAGTTTGGAAGTATTTCTAAAGGTTTGGTTAATTGTTCTTTAAACATTTGATAGAATTCACCAGGAAAGCCATATGACCCTGGGGTTGTAAGGGTTTTTTTTGGTGGTGATGGGTGGGGTTTGATTATGAATTCTGCTTCTATGCTTGACATCAGTCAATTTACATTATCTGGAAGTATTCTTTCTGCCCCTTTTTCTTCTTGTCTTCAGGGAATCTCATCGTTCGCACCTCAGCATAATGGTGGCCAGATCTCAGGCTTTGTCCATTTTTCTTTATTATTTTTTTTGCTGATTCTCAGATCATCTCGATTGACCTATTTCAAGTTTTCTTCTTCCTCCTCCTCCTCTTCCTCCTCCTCCTCCTCTTCTTCTTCTTCCTCTTCCTCTTCTTCCTCTTCTTCCTCCTCCTCCTCCTCCTCCTCTTCCTCCTCTTCTTCTCCTCCTCCTCCTCCTTCTTCTTCTTCTTCGTTGTATATGAACACAATACCTTTGTTTTATTTGTTTATTTTTTTTTAATGTGGTGTGAGGATTGAATCCAGTGTCTCACACATGCCAGGCAAGCGTCTACCACTGAGCTACAACCCCAGTCCAAGTTTGCTAATTTTTTTCTTTCACTTGTTCAAATCTATTTTGACCCTCTCTAGTGAATTTTTCTTTCAGCTATTGTACTTTTCAATTCCAGAATTTCAGTTTTAGTGTAGTTTGATTTCTCTTGGTGAGACATACTTTTCTTTAATTCTCTAGACATGATTTCCTTTAGTTCTCTAACATACTTAAAATAGCTGAATTAAGCCTTTGTAAGTCTAATTTTGGGCTTCCTTAAGGATGCTTTCCCTTTGTTTATGTTTTTGGAAACTAGACAATTTGTTAATCAAATGTGGCAACCCTGGAAATCAAATTTCACTCCTTCTTGAGGGTTTGTTCAGTGACTTTTCTGACTTTTCTGAATTCTGTAAGGCATATTCTTATCATGGGTCCCCTGATGTCAGCTGGGTTAGCTAGTGGTGAACTAATGTTAAATCATTTCCTTCGATCCCAAAGCCAATAAGGCTTCCAGCTGTTGCAGAGGGGCACTATGCACATGTTGGAGCACAACTTCAACACTTAAACCAGTTTGTAATTCGGTCTTAACCTTCACTTCATATTGCCCAGATGCTCAAGTTCAGCCCAAGGTGAGACTTGTAGCTTTATCATATCTTCTCTGAGTATGTACAAATCCCACAAATTCACTGTGACCTTCTAAATTCCCATCCCAGGAATATGTCACATTTTTAAAGTTCTCCCTGGATATCTTATTCTCAAGCTTTTCCTTCTAAGCTTTTTGGTTAGTCTATGTTTGCCCAAACTCTTATCCATTGCTGCAGGTCTCCATGATGTTGAATTTACCTCTTACTGCCCCAGGAGGAAAGTCTGTCTGCACAGTTAGTTAGGTCAAATAAGGACAGACAGGCAAGTGTGATCCTCCAGGGAACCATCAAACAGGCCAATTAATGACAGTTCTCTGGGGGAGCTTTGAAGTCAGGGTGGGGACAGGTGGGAATATGACAGTTAAAAGCTCGCCACTAAAAGCTGAATATTCTTACCAAGATTTACTATTTTGAGTTAGCCCTCCCAAAGCTGCAAGCCTTTGATTAATCACCGCCGTTTTTTAAAAAATTTGATTCTATTTTCCTGTCCTTGTATTTGTTCCTTTTATACCTCTTTCTCTAAACTTCCACTATGCAGCAACTAACGGATTAATATCTAACCAGCAGGAACCAAAAAGGCTATGCTCTATTCTGATTGTTTATGTTGTGTAGTTGATAAATGTTAAGTAGAGTCACATGTGTTAATGTGTGTGTGTTATGTCCAGGTCTGTGGCTATGTACATGTGTATATGTAATATTTTGACTATCACACACATAAACCATGTCACATAATAAAAGAAAGGGTTTAAAGAAAGTTTTAAGGGGTAAGAAGTACCCCATAGGGTTGTGTTTTTGTGCTTTCCATATATATATATATATATATATATATATATATATATATATGTATGTGTATATATATATATACATATATTGTATATATATATATATATATATATATACACATATATATACATAAAATAGCCATTCTTTTACCCTTCTCTTTTCCTTTCCCCATGTTTTCTGGCTCTCTTACCACTTTTTCTTCCTGATAGTACTGGGGATCGAACCCAGGGGCACTCTACCACCGAACTATGTGTCAAACCTCGCCTTTAAAAAAAAAAAATTGACATAGGATTTTGCTAAGTTGTTCAGGTTGGCCTTGAACTTAACCATCCTCCTGCCTCAGCCTCTCAAATAGCTTGAGATTACAGGTGTGTGCCACCATGCTTGGCTCCTTTACCTCTTTCACCTCCAGTTATTGCTCACTCCTTTTTAAAAATTCTTATTTCTGGTCCTTATCCATCCATCCACCCCCACCCTCAAAGGTACAGACTTTTTTTTTTTTTTTAAATGCCTTTATTTATTTACTTTTATGTGGTGCTGAGGATCGAACCCAGTGCCTCATAAGTGCTAGGCAAGTGCTCTAACATTGAGTCACAACCCCACCCCCTGGTCCTTATCTCTTTACCTCTTTTGAAATGTAATCATGTTCCTAAGTGCCTATCAGAGTTGTTAGGGGGCTGTACTTTATTTTGAATAGCATTTTCACATTAAATCTTTTTTGTCTCAGTATTCTCTGTGATACCTAGCTCAGGGTTTTAATGCCATCCTCAGTGATTTGAGTTAATCTTGGATTATCTCTTTAGAACAAACCTCACTGATCGTGAATTTTATGATCTTATTTGATCTTATTCAATGTACTTGGAGCAATAAGAACCTGCTCTTCCTTTACACTGGGATGAGGTGAAATATGCTGTCTTTCTTCTCTTCAGTCTGCTGAAAGGTATTTCTCTAACATGTTTCCTGAACATACTTGAGATACTAATCCATTCTCTTTTTCTTGCTTTTGATAGTGTCACTCCATTGCTTCTTTCTTAGAGGAATATGTATGGAAGATTTACCTTAATCACTTTAGTTTGCATGGGGCAGGGAAGACAGAATTCCAAATGGCTAGAATTCTTCCAAAGCTCTGCCTTCCTCTCCCTGCAAGGGAGGGAAAGAGTTTTGCTTATAGCACATTCTATTCAAGGATAATCACTATGGGATCAGGCAAAAAGTGAACCAAAAGTGTCTTGATTCTGTGGAAATGCCTCTGTGTGTGTGTGTGTGTGTGTGTGTGTGTTTAATGCAAGTGTTTTTAGGCTGCTTCCCTTGGAGACTGGACGTTTAGCCTGTTGCTTATGACTTCTCAATTTGCAGTTTCACAAGCCTGTTCCTGACTCATCGTAGTTTCACATTGGATCTATTGTTTCACATTTCCAGCACTTACTTTTAAGACTCTAGGGGATTGTGTGTGGTCATTTTCTATTTTCAGTAACAGAAGGTGGCTAGTGGGTAGGAGAGTCTAGTAGCTATTTGGTGATTTTTTTTCTTTCTCTTTATCAGTTTACTCTTTTTCCTTTCTCAAGACTATGAACTTTTTAAAATTGGGACTGGGCTGCCACCCACATAATTTGGTTAAATGATCTTCTCTGTAACTTTGGGATTTTTGTTTGTTTTTGTTTTTTGTGGTGCTCAAACCTAGGGCTTTGTGCATACTAAACAAGTGTCTACCACTGAGCCACATTTCTAGCCCCATGATCTTTCTTTCTAAAACTCCATATTTGAGAAATAACAATGCTCTCAATTTCACATTTGGTGGGGTGTGAGTTACCCTTTCAGCAACAGTCTTTATAGATTTCAGGAATATGGCTGCTCTGCTCTGCTGAGTGAAATGTTGTGTTACTTTCTACAATAAGACAGGAAGAAAGCCAGTCTCCCCTAACATTTTGTGGCTTCAGCTTTTGGGTAGTGCAGTTTTCCACTTTGCCCCAAAGCCCAGACACTGCCTCATCTAGCCACACAGTCAAGATTATTGACTAAGTTCTTTATTCTGCCTCACTGGTGCCTTGGCAATCTATATTCACATCAAGTAATTTCACTGGTTGTTTGAACTACTGTTTATCCCAATTGCTATTAGCACAATCCTCAGGAGCATGATAATTTTGTTAGGTCTGCCAAGATCACCATAAATGTGCGTCTCACAACCTGGCCATTTAAAAACCTGAGGTGTCTTGCCCATTCTGATGAAGGCTGCCACATTCATCTGATGAATTGATGCTCTGTATAAAGATTTTAGAGACATCTTATAAAACAAAGGACTCTCACTCTTTTGGAACAGGTAGCTTATATAAGTATAAGTCCAACCATTGAAATCTAAGTAGGTGTCAGAGGTGGTTTCCAATTCTGACTCTCACACTGAGAATAGGTAGACAATAGAATATCTATTGTGCTAACTAATAGTAACAGGAGTACTATCTACTACTTTACTACCTGCTACTTTACTAAATCGTACTTTGTTAGCCAGATTTGTGAAAATTGGCAGGTATTAGAGCAAGATATTTCTGGTAATCCAGTGCCTTTCATGATCACCAGTAGCCTATTTAAAAAAATATACCCATAACACATTGTCTGTGAGCTGAGGACTAGGCATAGCACTTGCCTAGCATGCACAAAGCCTTGGGTTTGATACACAGCACCATATACATACGAAAAAAGAAAGAAAGGTCTAAAGCTATATTTAGAAAGACGGAAGTAAGTCATTTCTATGACATCACCTCTGTTCCCAGTAGTCAACTCAAACTACATTGTGGGGTAATGAGCTTTTGTTGAGCATATTAAGGAAACTAATCATCATTTATTGGTGTGTTTCTCTGAAAATGTGTTTTTAATTTCCCAAGAACTAATTTAACATGAAAATGTTAGAATATAATCTGGTGATAAGTTTAGATTGCCTGTAGTAATTCATTTCTTTAAATGTGGTAATTAAAAAAGTTCTGTTTAAATTAAGACTTGACAGGCATTGGTAATCACAGAGAATATTAACTTCCTCTGAATATTTTAAACAAAGGAGTCTTTTAAAGAAAGTACTACATATTCATATACTTGCTTTGGTCTTTGTCAAAGTCCCTGGGTCCCTTCCTAGTTTCTCTGCTCATTTTGCACCTTCTAGCTGCTCTTGACTTCTTCAACCACGTGAGTTCCTTATTTATTTATTTGTAGTTTTAGATGGACAGCATGTTATTTTTTTATTTTTATGTGGTGCTAAGGATGGAACCCAGTGGCTCTCAAGTGCTTTGCCACTGAGCTTCAGCCCCGTGCATTTTTGTTTGTCCTCCATTACATCGGAGCCATTGCCCCTTCAAACCTTTATCAGTTTTTTTTTTTTTTTTTAATATTTATTTTTTAGTTCTCGGTGGACACAACATCTTTGTTGGTATGTGGTGCTGGGGATCGAACCCGGGCCGCACGCATGCCAGGCTAGCGCGCTACTGCTTGAGCCACATCCCCAGCCCCCCTTTATCAGTTTTTTAATGCCTGTCTTCTTCCATCTGACTCATATATTTGGAACTTCTTCCTCCATATCTAATTGAGTCTCAGAAGCCCCCCTCATCACTTGTACATTGGTTTCATGATTCTCGTTTTGCTTTTAATGATATGTAGGAAACCCAGGATGAGTCAGCTGTGTTATGGTTGGATGAAATTCAAGGTGGAATTTGGCAGTCCAACAAAGACACCCAAGAAGCACAGAAGTGTATGTATCAGCTATTTTATTTCTGTTTTTTGTGGAGGGTATGGGTGGTGAGGTATTCCATATCTCCATGTTCAGCTTGACCAAGATAGATATGGGGGCAGTAGTTGGCCAGTAGGTATTATTAGGTGAACTAGTGTTTGAACTCAAACAGTTTCAGGTTATTAACAGTTCTTTTCTGGGATAGTTGCCTTAGGAATCTTTGCCATTAATGAGGCAGTAGAAAGTGGTGATGTTGGCAAAACACTGAGTGCCCTTCGTTCCCCTGATGTTGGCTTGTATGGAGTCATCCCTGAGTGTGGTGAAACTTACCAGAGTGACCTTGCCGAAGTCAAGAAGAAAAAACTGTCAGCAGGTACGTTATGGAAAAATGCATATGTGCCTAAAGCTAAGAACTTCAGTATGTGAGGAGACGGATATAGAAGAAGGGAACAATCTTATGGAAAGATGTTTTAATGTAGAAGTACAGTGTTTAGGCTTATTTTATTATGTATTTGTTTATTTTTGCAGCAGTGTGGATTGAACCCAGTGAGCTACATCTCCACCCCTTTATATTTACTTTGAGATAGGATCTCGCTAAGTTGCCCAGGCTAGCCTTGAACTTGAAATTCTCCTGCCTTAGTCTCCTGAGTCACTGGGATAACAGGTGTGCATCACTACACCTGATTAGTCTTACTTTAGAGCAAATATTATCCCAATTTTTGAAAATACTCTTTCTTTTCCTTGCAAATTAGCTGTTAGCTATTTTTATGAGAATGTGGAAAGGATTTTTGACCATTTATCTATTATAGGATTTCAATACCTCTGGTTATCTTTAACTTATAGGCAGTTAAAAATAGTGTATCTGAAAACAAAAATAAGACAATTTTATGGCCCTTTGTTTCTTAACTGGATATGTTGAATGGTTGCAAATTTTTTTTGTACTGCAGATTGAACCCAGGACTGCTTTACCACAGAGCTGCAACCCCAGCCATTTTATTTTTTAATTTTGAGACAGAGTCTTGCTAAGTTGCTGAGGCTGGCCTTGAACTTTTGATCCTCCTGCCTCGGGCTTTCAAGTTGTTGGGATTATAGCATGTGCTACCACACTTGGCATTTGCAAATCTTTTATCAGAACAGTTTTCCAGCACACAGGCCTTAGACATAGACATTGGAAAGGACAGCCAATCATGGTTAGTTTCATAATTTGACTTCATAGGTATTTTCTTTTTACAATACAGATCTGAATAAACTAAATTAGATATTATATAACCATTATTTAATGTAGTCTTAGAATGAACCTTTACTTGCAAAGATCCAAGAAGCTAGTTTTGGGAATGGTTTTCATTCAGATTGTTAAAACCTGACTAGAATAACCCTATAGTATTAGACATATAAATGTGGTGTGTGTGTGTGTGTGTGTAGCTTGGATTTCTTTTATCTTTCCTTTATTATTATTATTATTTTTTTATATTTATTATTTAGTTATCGGCGGGTACAGCATCTTTGTTTGTATGTGGTGCAGAGGATCGAACCAGGGCCGCATGCATGCCAGGCGAGCGCGCTACCGCTTGAGCCACATCCCCAGCCCTATTATTATTTTTTTTAAATTTTTAGTTGTAGATGGACACAATACTTTGTTAATTAATTATTTTTTAATGTGGTGCTTCTGATCGAACCCAGTGCCTCATTCGTGCTATGCAAGCTCTGTATTACTGAGCCACAACCCCACTCCTTATCTTTCCTTTATTTTCTGCCAGGAGATAATAATAGCAAGTGGGTGAAGCATTGGGTGAAAGGCGGATATTATTATTACCACAATCTGGAGACCCGGGAAGGAGGATGGGATGAACCCTCAGACTTTGTGCAAAATTCTGTGCAGCTTTCTCGGGAAGAGATCCAGGTAAGTCACATTTCTTCATTTGAGAAGGGTCTGAGAGAAAGTGTTTAGAACTAATACTAGTTAAGGGGAGGAGGACATGTGGTCAGAAGTCTTAGACTAAATTTCAGCTATATAATGTTTTGGAGTAATTTTTATATATATATATACCTTTATTTTTATATTTATTTATTTATTTATTTATATTTTTGTATGTGGTGCTGAGGATCAAACCCATTGGCTCACACATGCTAGGCAAGCACTCTACCACTGAGCTACACAACCTTAAGCCCAGAGTAATGTTTTTTTAGTGGCTTGGGGGACGACTAAAGGTAAAATATCTGAATAGTAGAATTTAGTGAGATAAATTGTGTGCTTATTAAAGGAAATTTGATTGATCCAGAGATTATCTGCCTTTCATTTGTTCACAGTATTGTGAAAACAGCTGACACAGAACTGAGTCCAACAGTGTAAGGCAGGGAAAAGTAGGGGCTCTAATAATACAGTGATGGAACTGTTAAGGAAAAGTTAATTCTGTGCTGTAAAAAGATATTATAGGCAATATTTTAGCAGGTCAGAAAAAGAGGAAAGGCCCTTTTGGGCAGAAAAGACATGTGGGGAAAGGCACTGAGAAAGAACATAGACTATTTAAGGATTAACGCATTAGTGTTGTTGACTGGCATACTGATGGTACTGCATTAAAGGAGGCAGAGGGGTACAGTCTAATGGGCACTATGCTGAGAAATCTAGGCTCCATCTTCTACCAGGGTAGTGTGTAACCCTTGCTGGGTCATGTGCCTTTGAGAATCTTACCTCCAGAGAAACACTCCTGTCTAGTGTTTTGCAGGTATGTCAGGACCTAAGAATTTAAAGATGGGGTGATATTACCTGGCTTTATGAACATGACCTTAGCGCTCCGACTATCAAGTTAGCAGTCCAGACAGAATATAAGAAGGGGAAGAAAAGCTAGAGGGCATACTGCCAGCTCCCTGTCTTCAGGAGCTTTCCCAAAGGTCTCACCTAACCATGCCTACTCAAAGCAGGGGTGGTTTAAATGCTCATGGTGTTGCGGGGGTGTGGGGGATGCTAGAGGGGAGAAGACTCTAACACCACAGAAAAGGGAGAATGTGGGTATTAAATGGGTAACCAGAAGCTCTTCCTCCCCATTCTCACTGCTGCTGCCCTCATTAAGCCCAGGTCCTCTCACTTCCATTATGACGGCAGCTTTCTGATTCTCTCACTTTCTTAAAGTTTCTCCTCACTCCATTCTGTCAGCTTTTCTTTAATAGTATTATTTTTCTGAAAATAAATCTGATCGTTAATTTCTTTGCTTCAAGGTTTTCTGGTTCTCCAGTTCCTACAGCAACAGTCCAAAACCTCTAGATTGCTTTTTAAGATCATTTGCAGTCTGTGTAGGAATGCCACACTTTGGCATCCTGGGGGCCACCTGTGCACAGTACACAGCCCTATAGTGGTACCAATCACTATATTCCTGTCAATAGTGACTCCTTCTCAGCTAGTATAGTGGAGATAGTTGGGTGGATAAAAGATAACTTGTAAAAGAAGACCAAACTGGCCCTGAAAATACACACCTGAGGTTTATTTCTGTTGCTCAGATGAAACTAATAGAGATTTAGGAAGCAGTGAGGGTTAAATTTGTGCTTTGAATGAAACTTTGGTAAAATTAGTGTCCATTCTCAATTTTGGATATCTTTGAATGTGAACCACTGTTTTTTCAGAGTTCCATCTCTGGGGTGACTGCTGCGTATAACCGAGAACAGCTTTGGTTGGCCAATGAAGGCTTGATCACCAAGCTGCAAGCTTGCTGCCGTGGCTACTTAGTTCGACAGGAATTCCGGTCCAGAATGAATTTCCTGAAGAAACAAATTCCTGCCATCACCTGCATTCAGGTATTTCAGAGTGTATTATACACACAGCAAGAAGGCTTCTAGATCAGGGGCAATAAACTGTCAGCTCCTAAAATCAAAGGTGTGAGTGTGTTTCTTAACTTCTGACCTTTTTTTCTCCTCTTAACAAATACCTTTTCTTTGCTACCATTGTAATCAGTGTGCTTAATGTTTAACGTGTGCTTAGTGTTTAATGATGGTACAGTGGCAGTTCTTGGGCAGCCTCTTCTTCTCTCTAACACTATGCCTTTGTGTAAAATTTGAATCTTGAGAGAAAATGAAAAAACTGGTTTTGATTCAATAACATGGTAGCACATTGTCGTCACAGGAAGAATCCTGAGTTAGGATTCTTAGGAATTATGGTGCCACTCATGCCAGACACTGGTGAATCTTAAGTTTGCTTCTTCATCTGTAGAATGGGAATACTAATTTTTAGCTTCCTGAATAGATTTATTGTTAAGGAACCAGTCAGTGATTCTTTATGCTGCACTTTAAAAGATGTCCAGGAAGTGGAATGTAGCCACCGTTCTCCTGGAGGAGGTGTGGCCAAGCCCTCCTTCTAGTGTCACTGCTGGAAGCAATCCTTTCTAAAGCTTCATCATGAACTTGTACTTGGATGATATGTCAGGATGAGATTTTTTTAACTTCCACTGATCCTTGGGAAATAACATGTCACCTATAATATTTGATGACTGCAGTCACAGTGGAGAGGATACAAGCAGAAGAAGGCATATCAAGATCGTTTAGCTTACCTGCGCTCCCATAAAGATGAAGTTGTGAAGGTATAGTAGCCTGAGTGAGGTTCCTCCAGGTGGGGTGCAAACATGGCATGTTTAAAGAAGGACACTTCTAAGTTCCAGGATCCCTTTTCCACAGATTCAGTCCCTGGCAAGGATGCATCAAGCTAGAAAGCGCTATAGAGATCGCCTACAGTATTTCCGAGACCATGTAAGTACTCTTGGGTAACATGGGCCAGTTATATTGCTTCTACTACATATTTGTTAGAAGAATGAGCAAAGGCATTTCTTTTTCTTTGCTTCTCAGATAAATGACATTATCAAAATCCAGGCTTTTATTCGGGCAAACAAAGCTCGTGATGACTACAAGACTCTCAGTGAGTAACTTGGGAGGAGTTGAGGCAGGTTCTGGGTGTTCACCACAGATCTCTTTGGTTGTCCTGAAGGCAAGGCTTGGTGGGAAGGTACTACCTGGGATTTAAGCCCCTTTTCTAATGTGGCTAGATGTCTTGTTGCTTGCTGCATTAGCCATTGTTGTAACATAGCAATAGTATGATAGAGGAGACTGCACTTGATATATCTAAGATGTCTCAAAAATTTTCAAGATAATGCAGATACTTCCTGAACCTTAGAACTTTTTTTGATAACTCTTGTTCTTTGTGTGATGTATGTTTTTCCTTCTGTCAGTCAATGCTGAGGATCCTCCTATGATTGTGGTTCGAAAATTTGTCCACCTGCTGGACCAAAGTGACCAGGATTTTCAGGAAGAGCTTGATCTTATGAAGATGCGGGAGGAAGTCATCACCCTCATTCGTTCCAACCAGCAACTAGAGAATGACCTCAATCTCATGGATATCAAAATTGGACTGCTAGTGAAAAATAAAATTACATTGCAGGTATGACCCAATGCCCGTGGGACCCTACAGCACTTTGCGTCCTGCTTTGTTACCTCTGCTTTACCTTTTCTGACCCTCAGGGGGCATAGAGGCTTATAACTTTTTTTCAGCTAATGACATTTTTTTTAAAGTTTCATATGAAGTAAAATAATGGAATTTTAGAAAATAAAAAATCCTCCCCTAATTCCACTACTCCGTAATCATTTTTTATCCTACTTTTTGTTTTGTTTTTGTTTGCTTTTGTGCTGCTGGAGATCAACCCAAGGCTTCACACATACTAGGCAAGCACCCTACCAATCAGCTACATGCCCAGGCCTCCTAGATATTTTTTTTTTTTTTTAGTTGTAGGTGGGCACAATATATTTTATTTTTATGTGGTGCTAAGGATCGAACCCAGTGCCTCACACGTCCTCCTACATTTTAATGTTAGAGGATAAGACTCTTTTTCCATGTGATAAATATCATAAGTAATCTAAGGGCACTATAATACTTGATTAGAAGATACACTTTGAGGGGCTGGGGATGTGGCTCAAGCGGTAGCGTGCTTGCCTGGCATGCGCGGGGTGTTGGGTTTGATCCTCAGTACCACATAAAAATAAAAACAAATAAAATAAATATAAAAACATAAAAATAAAAACAAATAAAATAAAATAAAAACAAATAAAAATAAATATTAAAAAATTCTCTCTCTTAAAAAAAAAAAAAGATACACACTTGATTTGCCTCATTTTCCCCTACTGTTTTGACATTTAGGTTGTTTCCCGAGTTTTTATTATAAATAAAATAGCAGTTAATATCTCAAATGATGTTTTTATTGTATTTGAATTTTTCTTTTTGAGATGGGATCACACTATGCTGCCCAGGCTGTCCTTGAACTCTTAGACTCAAATAATCCTCCTTCCTCATCCTCCCAAGTAGCCGGGACTATCACTGTGTACAAGATTTGTTTTTCTTTTTTGTGTGTGGGTTTTTTGTTTTGTTTTGTTTTTGCTTGCTTGTTTGTTTTCTGTACTAGGATTCCCCTTAGGGCTTTGTACATACTAGGCAAGTGTTCTACCATTGAGCTGCATCCCAGCCCTCCCGACTTTTTCTTTCTTTGAGACAGGATCTTGCTAATTTGTCTTGGTTGGCCATGAACTTGTGACCATTCTGCTTCAACCTTCTGAGTACCTGGGATTATAGGCATATACTAACCATGACTGGCTTAAGATGCTTTGTTGATGGTGGTGGTTTTGTTTTATTTTATTTTATTTTTTGGGGGGTACTGGGGATTGAACTAGGGTGCTCTATATTTTTAAGATAAATTCCTAGAAGGTGGTTTCCTGATTCCATGGACTGTTCTTTTTTTGTTTTTTTGTTTATTTGTTATCCCTGAGCCTATATGAAAAACCACCCATATAGCTCATATTTCTTATAGGAAGGCAGAAGTTGGAATGGAGTTGATTGGCATGCTAGGCTAAAATAGGATATTTTAGTGGTTCAAAAATATTTAGTGGGGATCTTCCAGCATAGAAGACCTTCATGTAAGTGTGCAGGTACTAAAAGACCTTTTCACATGCCCAGAGTTTCCTTTTAGAAAACTTTTCAATCTGTGTGTTGGTTTCTGTTTATAGGATGTGGTTTCCCACAGTAAAAAACTTACCAAAAAAAATAAGGAACAGTTGTCTGATATGATGATGATAAATAAACAGAAGGGAGGTCTCAAGGCTTTGAGCAAGGAGAAGAGAGAGAAGTTAGAAGCTTATCAGCACCTGTTTTATTTACTGCAGGTGAGTGGCTCCTCAAATTGGTATTGCAACATTTAGTTCATTTACTTTCCCACAAGGAAATCTTACCCATACATCTCTTGAAAGTATTTCTGATTTCTACCGAGGGTATGTGCAGGGCTGTCTTATTTTTCTTTACTTATCTAACCCTTCAAATTTAAAAAAAAAAAAAAAAGAATATTTTTTGTCAGTCTTCATGTTATCTAGGAATTACTTATCCCTTGGTTTTATTTCAGACCAACCCCACCTATCTGGCCAAGCTGATTTTTCAGATGCCCCAGAACAAGTCCACAAAGTTCATGGACTCTGTAATCTTCACACTCTACAACTATGCATCCAATCAGCGAGAGGAGTACCTGCTACTGCGACTGTTTAAGACAGCTCTCCAGGAGGAGATCAAGTATGCAGGGATTGCTGCAGAGTGGCGCCCCTTCCAACCATCACAGATGCTCATAGTTTCAGAATCAGTCCTGCCCAGGCCTTTTCTTTATCTCAGTTAATTTGTGAGAAGTACTTTCTAAAGAAGCATCCACTTTTAAAAAATTATATATAAAGTATATAATATAAAGTTTTGCTTCTGGGAGAATAAGAGATTTGCTAAATTAATTTTAGAAATATTTTATTGTCAGATATAATTCCAAATAAAGCTGATCCAAACATAATTGCCCCATATGTCTGTCTAAGAGGCCCTCATCATGACTCCGTGGGTCAGTATATAGCTGCAGGAAGGTCCCATGAGTGTTGGGAAATATTTTCAACTTGCTCTGTTCCCAAGGATATGGGAATCTATAAATAGGAATGCTCTTTAAGATGATAAATTCTGAGATTAAATTGAATTGTATCTGATGTTTTATAGGTCAAAGGTAGATCAGATTCAAGAGATTGTGACAGGAAATCCTACAGTTATTAAGATGGTTGTAAGTTTCAACCGTGGTGCCCGGGGCCAGAATGCATTGAGACAGATCTTGGCCCCTGTCGTGAAAGAGATTATGGATGACAAATCTCTCAACATCAAAACTGACCCTGTGGACATCTACAAATCTTGGGTTAACCAGATGGAGTCCCAGACAGGAGAGGCAAGGTATGATAGCTGTACCACTTTTTCTTTCCTGTTTTTATTATTTTCTCTGCCTTTTTAAAAATGTAGTTACCTTTGATTTACAAAATAATAATGGTTCAAATAGCTTTTCCTTAGAAAACCTGTTCTTTAAACTGCTAAACTGGTAACAAATTTGCTTGTTTAACAAATGTTTATTGAGTATTTACTATGTCCCAGGCACTGTGTTAGATACACATATAGTAAAACATACAGTAATGAGAGAAACAAACATGCTTTTTGCCCTCTCTTTATAGTTTATTAGATAAGAGAGACAACAAATAGATACATAAAAATAATGATAAATCGAGGGAAGTTTTGGGAGGTTTAATGTAGGGTACTATAGTAGAAAATACAAGAGAGAGCAGTGTAGATAGGGTGGTTAGGGAGACTCTGACTGAGGAGGTAGAATTTCATTTGGCTGAGGCCTTGGTACAGAGTGTTCATGCCTCAGTGCCCTACAGTGGAGGGTCTAGGACCTGAAAGGATCCTGATATAACTAGAGATTCAGTTGAATGAACAGGAAGGCTGCAGATGGGTGAGACCATCCTATTTGATTAAAGTAAAATTTTAAAAATGGTATAGGGTGAATGGCCAGCTGCCCTGGTACACTGAGAGACTAACTAAATTAATTTATTGTAGGAGATTTCTGTGCCAGGCCTATAGTTTAACCACCAGTGTTAACTTACCTAAAGCACAGGTTTGTCAGTCAAATATGGGTACTACTGGTAAAACAAAGTTAAAGAAAGCCAAAATGTTTCAGGTTTTATTGAGCTTGAGTGAGGAATGGAGATATGAGCAGTTTGATGTATGGTGTTTTTCTTATAGAGTAGGGTTAGCTCATGCATAAAGCTCCCGGAGTCCACACCATTGCAATTCAAAGTGTGGTTTGCAGGCCAGTTATGGGAGATCTTGTGTGTAACAGTTTAGTTCAGCTGACGTTTTTCAATGAGGAAAACTGTACATTGATTTTCATTCTGGCTCAATCTCCTCATCTTGTCTTCCACTGGTTATAGACTGGCACTGATCCACAATTTGAATAACACTGTTCTACATCATTCTACTTTGTTTGTATCTGGACGCCATGCAAAGGAGGAAGTGTACCCTCCATGAAGAACAGAACATGCTGACTCCTAGAAAGACCTTATCCCTGCTGGGAATCATTTGGCATCTGATTTTGTTCTCAGTACTTTTAGTCTTTCACCAGGATTCAGATCATTGCTTGGTGTGATGAAATACTTGTGTGGGAAGTTTTCTCTTCCTTCCTCTCCCTCTCATTCTCTTTTATGTCTCCCTCTCGACCCTTTTCTTTCTCCTTCCTTCTCTCCCTCACCACCTCTCTGTCCCTCTTATCCTTTCCTTTCTGGTATGGAAGGAACTCAGCCTTATGCATACTAGGTACACATGGTAGCCCTGAGCTACACCCCTAGCCTTGTCTGGGAAGTTTTGTTGGCAGCCTAGAGCTTCTCTGGTTAACAACCCATGGACAATGGTTAAGTTATTCCCCTTGATGGTCCATGAGTCAGTGCTATTTAGATCAGAATTCCAATGGCCATTTTTTCTCTTATGGCTATCAGTAAGAAACTCTTGTCTCCTTTTACTTTTCAGAAAATGGAAATTGATTTTAATATTTTTTTGATACCAGTAACTGTGAGGTATGGTGGGAACCATCCTGTGTGTGGACATCACAAAGGCTAGAGCCTTCCTCTTCTCTTGCAGCTACCACACACCAGGCCATGACCTTGTCACCTCTTGGGAAGAATGGTCACCTCTGAAACCTTAAAAGGTTTAATCTTTTCTTTGACTACAACCATTGATTTTAGTACTTTTGTTCCCTTTGCTCATTGCTTTGTTTTCCTTGTTTATATTTTTTTAATTAAAGAAATATTTTGGGGGGCTGGGGTTGTGGCTCATTGGCAGAGCACTTGATATATATATATATATATATATATATATATATATTTTTTTTTTTTTTTTTTCTGTACTAGGGATGGAACCCAGGGCCTTGTGTATAGTTAGGAAAGTGCTTTACCACTGAGCTACATTCTAGCCCCACTATAATAAGGCTATTATAGATTTTACTAATATTAAATAGTAAGATACATAGTACAACTTTTTATAAATTCCAAATTGCTTATTGTTTCTCATTGAATGTTACTATTGAGCTGAATTCATGTATTATAGTCTACCTGTGGAGTTTTTGACACTATGACAGAGTCATAACCCTATATACTTGTATTAGTTTCCTAGGGTTGCTATAACAAATCACCACAGATTTCTTAAACAATAGAAATTTGCCTGGTTTGTTGGGTGTAATCCCAGCAACTCAGGAGGCTGAGGCAGGAGTGTCAGAAGTTCCAGGCCAGCCTCAGCAACTTAACCAGAACCTGTTTCAAAATTAAAAAAATAAAAAGGACTAGGGATGTATCTCCATGGTAAAGTTCAATCCTCTATATGGGAAGGAAGTGGGGGATGTATTCTCTCACTGTTCTGGAGGCAAGAAATCTGATGTCAATATTGCTGTGCTGAAATCAAGGAACTGGCGGGGCCGTGTTCCCTCTGGAGGCTCTGGTTAGAAATCTGTTCCTTGCTTCTTCCAGCTTTTGGTGGCTGTTATTATCCCATTACTTGTGGCCATATTGCTGGTCTCTGCCTCTCTAGTCACATTGCCTCCTCCTCTTCTGGGTATATGAAATCTGCCTCTGCCTTTCTCTCATAAGGCCCCTGGGCTTAGGGCTCATCTGGATAATCCAATATAATTGTTACTATTTTTTGACTTTATGAAAGTACCAAAACCATGATCTCTGCATTTCATTTTGTGTTTCAACTTCCTGTGTCCTCCCTCCCATTCTGGTTAAGCCCAGGCCGCACGTTCTAGCACATCTACTCTTCCCATGCCAGTTCTGACTCATTCAGTGCCCTCTCCTTAAGTAATCTCATTAGTGCCTCTAGCTCTGATTCCTGTATGTAACTGTCTACTCCCTTCAGCATCCAAAAGGCCTCAGATTCTATTAAATGTAGTTTATCTACTTTTATATCCATCAGATTTTTTTCTCTTGGTCCCCACTGCTGCACCCTTGGTCATGCTCAGAATTTCTTCATCAGGCTGTGACATTGATCTCCTGCCTCTTTCATCTGTGTCTGTCCGTATTTAATTCATTACTTGACAAAGCAGTCTTCCTCAAAATGCATATCTCCTAACTTTTGATAGTTTCCACTGGCTTCTGATTACTAACAAGTCCAGATTTTGTTACTGTATATGCAGGTCCCTCCTCCCTTTCTTTGCATTTGATCTTCATTCCTGGAAGACCCTTCTCTCTTTTTCCTGAGTTCAGTTGTCTCTTCCTTTTGGAAGCCACCTTTGCTTTCTGCAGTCTGAGTGGTAGTCTGTAGTCCTGCAGCACTTCTGGTCAACTTCTGTTTGTTTATACTGATCCCTGTCTGTGTCTCCCATGGGACTGGAAGATTATCAAGAGAAGATATATCTTGTCTTTAATCCTAAGTGTTTATCATAGTGCTGGCACAAAATTCATGACACCTAATTCACAGTTTGAAAACCTGAGTTCAAATTCTAGCCTTGGGCTGGGTTGTGGCTCAACGGTAAACCGCTTGCCTTGTATGTGTGAGACTCTGGATCCTCAGCTCCACATAAAAATAAATAAGTGAAATAAAGGTATTGTGCTCAACTACAACTAAAAAATAAATATTTTTAAAAAAATTCTAGCCTTACCACTTAACAGCTCTGTGAGCATAAGTGTAAGTTACCTAATCTTTCTAGATCTTTCTGTGTATAAAAGTCATGGTTCCTGGCTGTCAGTCTAACATAGTTGGGGGGAATTTCTGCTTTTCCAGCAAACTGCCCTATGATGTGACCCCTGAGCAGGCTCTGGCTCATGAAGAAGTGAAGACAAGGCTAGACAACTCTATTAGGAACATGAGGGCTGTGACAGACAAGTTCCTCTCAGCCATCATCAGCTCTGTCGACAAAATCCCGTGAGTGCTATCAGTTTTTATGACCCCAAATATAGCCCAATGTTAGTGTCTTGCTGTTCGTTTGACCCTTCTCACTGTCCATCCCACAGTTATGGGATGCGCTTCATTGCCAAAGTGCTGAAGGACTCGTTGCATGAGAAGTTCCCTGATGCTGGTGAGGACGAGCTGCTGAAGGTAAGAGTCTGAAAACCGACAGAATCCTGCCCTTCTAATAGCCCTTTAAAGAAAAAGTTACAAAATTAGTCCTGACAGACCATTAGTGGGTGCCTAAGCATAGTTTCTGGCATAATTCACCATTGATTGTGAACTCTTAAAAGCAATTGTAAATAGTAAATCATGGCTCTCTTGGTATGAAACAGTTCCTATTCAATTTGAATGGCACTCAGTGTACCTTAAACACAAGTAGAGGAAGATGGATTTTTTTTCCTGTCTCATTAAATTTCTGAGTTCTATCTTCTCGCTGAAGAATTGCTCCCTCTGCTGGTGGCCAGGTGAAAAATAGCAAGCACAATTGTTTCTGCTAAAGCTATTGCTGAAAAAAACTTTCTTACTCAGCTACACTCTTTTCTTCTTCTTTTTTTTTTAATCTGAACGCTTTTTTCTTCTCTCTCCTAGTTCTGTGCTTTTCCACAGTGAGGCCTCGATTCTAGACTTTCTGTTCAGGTGAATTAATTTTATTTTTTCTGAATGAAACCTCTAGGGGAAATGCTGTGACTGTCCTTGAATTCTTCTACAATAGAGATGTATGTTGAGTGATTTCATTTCAGAGGCATAAAAGTTTGCCTTTGAAGTCTGCAGCATGAGGATGATGGGGGTTGGACAGCTTGCACTATGCTAAGTAGATTGTGTTTAAGTACTTATCTTAACTATGTTTATTAGCTTCTTATAATGAAAAGCCCACCTGTGTGAAAGTAAAAAGTGCATGTGGATGACAGCAACCTTATTTGCTACCATGATATATGAACAAAAGATGCCCTTAAGTCTATCATTTTTATTTCCGAATCTCTTCTTTCATCAGTTACTGGTAGTGGTTCTCCCTTTTTTCCCCACACCCAACAAAATAATTTTTATTCTAATTCTAGGCCCTGAGAGAAAGTTTATCTATGCATGGTGCATGTGCGTGTGTGTGTGTTTTATTTTTTTCCTCACAGGATTGCATTTTCTCGTTTTCTTTGCTAGCAAAGTCATTAGTGGTGTACTTAGTGATATGGTTTTTAATAGCCAGCATTATTTTTTATCTGTTTCCAGATTATTGGTAACTTGCTTTACTACCGATACATGAATCCAGCCATTGTTGCTCCTGATGCCTTTGACATCATTGACCTGTCGGCAGGAGGCCAACTTACCACTGACCAACGCCGAAATCTGGGCTCCATTGCAAAGATGCTCCAACATGCAGCTTCCAATAAGATGTTCCTGGGAGATAATGCCCACTTAAGCATCATTAATGAGTATCTTTCCCAGTCCTACCAGAAATTCAGGTAAGAGAAAGGCACAAAATATCTGAAAGATTCTATGAGCATATTTTAATCTCTGAGGGAAAAGACAAGGTTAAATACCACCTCTAGCTTTCCCTGGACTGAGCTGCCATATCGCAAGATACATGTTTGATATACTCAGGGCTCCAAAGGATGGTGCATTCGTTTTGAAGAAGATTTTCTTATGACATAGACAGTACTTAATATAAAAACAGTAGTTATAGGTTAGGCCCATGTTTCTTTGTAATCAAAGAAGAATTGAGTGCTCTTAATTTTGATTAATTAACAGTTTTGGATTCACTGCTTCAGAGTACTATCCTACAGGTAAATGGCATGAGTGTCTGAGAACTGTTTTAAATTGTAGTTGAGTGGTTCTTGTGGGCAGAACTAAAACTAGATATAGAACAGAATTATTTGAACCAGTATCTCAAAGCTATCAAGCAGCAGTTTTTACATCAAATATGCAGTAGTTTCTCTAGAATTAATTCTCTTCACTAGCTTCTGTCTGAACTCATTGCTTGAAAGGTTTGTGGACTATCTTCTTGCAAGCTTCTCATGTGTGTGTCACTTGTTGGGGGGCTGCCTCCTGTGTTTATTTTCAGACGATTTTTCCAAACTGCTTGTGATGTCCCAGAGCTGCAGGATAAATTTAATGTGGATGAGTATTCTGATTTAGTAACCCTCACCAAACCAGTTATCTACATTTCCATTGGTGAAATCATCAACACCCACACTGTAAGTATTTTTCTTTAATTACTTAATTTCATTACTCTGTCATTAATTAATTATCTTCCTTGGCTGCTGCTTACTATGTCTGGTGGTCAAGTAACTCAGCATCCTGTGATGTTAATGACACCAAATCTTGTTGTCTTTCTTCCTTTGCTTCTCCCGTACTCCCCGACAATTCTGGGTATCGAAACTATAGCCTCTTGCATGCTTAGTTTCTGGAAATTATTCCCAAGTCACCTACATTAGAATTATCAAGTTGCCTGACCCTACCACAGGTGGACTAAGTGAGTCAGAATCCCTGAGCTCCAAAATGTACATTGTGAGCACTTATCTAGTGGCTTGAAAAAATTGTATTTTTTAAAACATTATCTAGAATAGCAATTTCTTCCTCTCTGTAGCCTTGGAGTGACTCCCCCACCCTTGGAAGCTCCTATTTCCGCAGAGTTTTCAAATAATTTCTTTCCCCTTTGGGGACATGCAGAAAAAGAAATGAGGATGTAAGTGAAATATAAGTGAAATTTCAGAGACTGTTATCTCTGAGGACATAACCTATGATAATACCATCTTGAGGGCTTGATAATGAAATATTCATTTGGTGTGCCTTTCACTGAATTAAAAGATATTGTGCCAGGCATGGTGCTACACACCTGTAATCCCAGCAGCTCAGGAGGCTGAGACTGGAGGACCACTAGTTCAAAACCAGCTAAGTGCCCCTAGGTTCAATCCCTGGTACAAAAAAAAAAAAAAAACAACGATATTATACACTGGCTGCATTTGATCTCCCACGGTGGGGGTTGGGGTGCCCACAGATACTCTACCCTGGAAGCATTTACAGTCTGAATGTGAGTTATTTGAACTGGCAGTAGGCTATATTGATGAATTTAGATATTGAAGTCTATAGATTTCATTGGGGCCGTGAGGTTTAAAGAGTATCAGTGTTTCTTCTCCATACATCATAACATACGTCAGTCAATGGAGCCTATTGTGCTACTTAATATATTTCATTTTTATTTGATTTAATTGGCTGAGGGTTAGCTTGTCAGTGTTTTGAACATACGAGCTTTGTTGTCTGGCCTCCTTTGTATAGATCACTGGTAGGCGTCATGGGTGGGGATGGGAGCTAGACAGCTGGGTATGAAAATGGTATTGAAAATAGGATCTTTTCAGCTCCTGTTAGACCACCAGGATGCCATTGCTCCAGAGCACAATGATCCAATCCATGAACTGCTGGACGACCTTGGAGAGGTGCCCACCATTGAGTCCCTGATAGGTAATGCTCTGACTTAACTGCCCAGAAGATGAGAGGTGAACACGACAGAAAAGTGTTGTGTTGTCATTACCTCCTCTGATTTTGCACTTTACCAAATTCTGGATATGTATTGGGAAACAAAAACAAATGTGGCCCCTTTCTGTGAGAAGTTGAAGTCCAATGGAAGAGATCTTTTTAAGTATAAATAATCATACAATTAGAAAGTCCTATAAGGAAGAGATTTTGAGAGAGAATTGTGATATTACAGAGTTAAAATTATTTGTCAGCTATTTATGAAATTATTTCATTATGGATCCTTTGCCTTTTTAGTTTTGGCATAATATTTTCTTTTATTTCTGAGTAAAAAGTATTCTTGCCACACTGTGTTGTCTTATTCAAGTATCATCTTAGACTCGCATATTTTATTTGTATACTATCGCCCAAATATCTCCTCCTTTTATTATATTAACTCTCTTCTCTCCCCCACCCCCAAACCTTCAGGGGAAAGCGCTGGCAATTTAAATGACCCAAATAAGGAGGCACTGGCTAAGACAGAAGTGTCTCTCACATTGACTAATAAGTTTGATGTGCCTGGAGATGAGAATGCAGAAATGGATGCTCGGACCATCTTATTGAAGTGAGTATTGAAAGTAGGAAGAATGAAGTGAATGTAATTCAAAGATCCTTGGACCTTTGGTGAGAGAGCAAACTGGATTGTACCTAAAATGATCCTCCTGGCCTTCATAACCATCATAATTCTGGTTATCTCTTATGCATGGCATTTTAATACCTTATTTGTATAAGTATTTGTCTTACTTTGCTAATGTTCTAAAATAAAACTTAAATCTCAGAAATCATAACCCTGGTACCTACTGTGTTGTAATTGCATAAATAAGCCCAGGGCCTCAAGTACCTTGTATCACCAGCTGTMTGCTGGCATCTCTGTGAAATGATATTTGTATTGCTATTGCTTCGGTTCACTTAAAAGGAAGCAAAATACACAGTATAATGTTTAAATGCTTTCTCATCTCATTTTAGCACAAAACGTTTAATCGTGGATGTCATCCGATTCCAGCCAGGAGAGACCTTAACTGAAATCCTAGAAATACCAGCCACCAGTGAACAGGTAAAATTTTAGGTTTAACTTAACATCTTCCTAAGGTAGATAAGCTTTCCTGTAAGTGCATGCCAGGGTTAAAGGAGGTGGACACAGATAAGAGATTGTGATCTAGGGTGACTCTGGATTTAACCAGAGGATGGTGGTAATTAGGACTAGTTTGAGAAAGTTGTTAGTTCCAGAAAATCCAGAAAATGTTCTTAGGACATAAAGCTCTCTGACACGTACATGCAGAGAGTGAGTCATTTTAACCTGGGGCAGAGTCAATGAGTTCATTTAGTAATTTATTGAATATTTTATAGTTGGAATTCTATCAACCTTGGTATATAGAAGAAAAATACAGAATGTGACTCCTAAATTTAATGATTTTAAGATTCTGGGGCTGGGGATGTGGCTCAAGCAGTAGCGCGCTCACCTGGCATGCATGCAGCCCGGGTTCGATCCTCAGCACCACATACAAATAAAGATGTTGTGTCTGCCGAAAACTAAAAAAAAAAAAAAAAGAAAGAAAAAGAAAAAGATTCTGTTGGGGAAATGTGACCTATATACTGGAAACAGTGGTAAAACCATTTAAAGTTAACTCTATACAGAGTATAAAAACGATTTAAGTTTGAGGAAAGAGGTGAATGAGGAGGGCATCAGGAAGGCTCCATGAGAAAGTGTAACTTGCAGAATGGGCAGGATCTGGATGTGCATTTAAGTCAAGAGAAGGCATTCTGTGCAAGAGAGCCCACATGAACAAAGGTGCAAAGGAGAGGAAGAGCGTGACATGATCTGACTACATATCTAGGATGAAGATGTGAGCGGAAGGAAGTAGTGAGAAAAAAAAAAAATCACACAAGACCAAATTACTTAGAACCCAAAGCTAGACAGGAATTTAGCCCTGCAGAGATAAGGACTAAAGCATGTTTGTAAACCCTGAGGTCATTTAATATTGATTAATTGGGCAAAGTTGTCAGGGAAGATGGTGGTTGAATTATCTAAATATGTGATAAAGTCTCAGAGTGAGGGGTGGAATGGGGAGGTAGGCTTTGGGAAGGATTGGTGGGTCCACTTCATGTTTAAAACTTGATTCTCATTTGTCAGATGAGAAAGTTGGTCAAGTCATTTTTTTTTTCATGTTTTAATCATGGGAATTTTCTTCATTAAGTTGATAACTACTTAGAAGCCCACTATAAAAGAGAGATTGGTAGAGGAAAAGGAACAGGGAGGAACGGGAAGAGTTGAGTGAGGGGGAGGTAGTGGGGAGTGATATTATCAAATTACATAGATAAATCATGTGCATGTACAATATGTAACAACAAACCCCATTATTATATACAACTACAATCCACCAGTGAAAATGTGGGAAGAGGTAGGGAAAACCCCCTATAAACCAAACATGGTGGGAACATCTGAAACCTGAGCTACTCAGGAGACTGAGGCAGAAAAATCACAAGTTTGACACCATCCTGGGCAAAGTTGATAAAAACTTTATCTCAAAATAAATTTTTAAAAAGTCCTGGGGATGTGGCTCAGTAGTAGAGGACCTTTTAAAGGTTCAATCCTTAGTGTTGGGGTGGGGTGGGTAGGGCAAGTAAAACTAGAGCTACTTTGGGAGTTCCAAGAACATGGCCCTCCAGGACTCATGGTACCTCTGGGAAATCCTCAAGGCTACACAGAGAACTGTTTGAAAACCACTGTTTTAAATGAATTCTCAGCTTTTAGACACTACAATGTATTACTACTTAGGTGTGTATGAGGGACAAGAAAAGGTATGCCCAATAACTGTAGCATCTTTAATCTGGAAGGAAATTTGAAAGCAGGAACCATCCTCTATTGAAAATCTATTATTTGTTAGTACTTCTATTAATCTTTTGTTTTTCATTTATTCCTCACATTATCCCTATGAGGTGAGTCTTTTCATCCCTGTTTTACAAATTAGGAAACCAAGACCCTTACAGGTTAAGATCACCAGCCTGTTGCAAAAAAAACCAGACTTGGATCCAGTTCTGTCTGACTCCAGAGGCTGCACTCTTTTGCATTATGGGATGCACAGTTGTCTTGACATTAGAAGAAAGAGGGATAGTGGGAAAAAGGAAAGGGAATCATTCTATTTGGGAGGAATTACAAATTTGAACTACAAGCCACTGCAAATGTAACTTCCCATTATAAGCGGTTCAAAACATACTGGCTGGGCATGGTGGCACACACTTGTAGTCCAAGTGACTCAGGAGGCTGAGGCAGACAGATAAAAGCCCTAAGCAACTTAGACCCTGTCTCAAAAAAAAAAAAAAAAAAAAAATAGAACTGGGTATGTAACTGGGGTAAAATGCCTCTGGGTTAAATCCCCAGTATCAACAAAACAAAAAGCGCCACCAGAACCTTTTATGCAAAGATTTGGATTCTATTACCATAAAGGTGATCATTAAAGTATTGAGAATATATAAAGAGAAATGGTCATGGGTCACTTGGAAGTATCAAACCCATGCAGAAAAAATGCAGAGCAGATGAGCAAAGTGACAATCAAGAAAAGTTATTGGATTTGGGGTGAGAGAATGGTAATTGGTGATGAGAGCTGTAGATACTGAAGTTGTTGAAGAAGAAAAGGCTAAAAGACTGGAATAGTAAGTGTAGATCATTTGTTGGGCAGAGATGTAACTGACAAATGAATGATAACAAGGAAAGATGGCAGAATTGAAAGAAGGTTGTTTTTTTTATTTTTGTTGTTGTTGTTATTGTTTTTTGTAGTTATAGATGGACAGAATGTCTTTATTTTATTTGTTTATTTTTATGCTAAGGATTAAACCTAGTGCCTCATGAGTGCTTGGCAAGTGCTCTGCCATTGAGCTACAGCCTCAGCCCTCCAAAGAAGGTTTTTCCCTTCTTAAGATATTGTCATTTGCAGTATGTTTGAAAGCAGAGGGATGGCTTGATTCAGCCTGGACAAGGTGGCCAAAGGATTTGCAAGGTTTTACTGGTCACTGATGTTGTTATTGTAGTTATGACATTTGTGGAGCCAGGTTTTGAAAAATTTAAAAGCACATGGTATCTATGATTACCTTCCTCTGCTTCATGAAGTTTCTCATTTGTCATTTGGCAGAGGGGCATAACTTGTTCCCCTCTGTTTCTAGAATGAAATTTGAGAACTGTATAAATTCAGATACATATAAGCTATGTAAATCCAATTTTAGAATCAGTGTGGCAACCTTGCCAAGAACTTGTTTTTATCATCTGTAGGAAGCAGAACATCAGAGGGCCATGCAGAGACGGGCTATTCGTGATGCTAAAACTCCTGATAAGATGAAAAAGTCAAAGACTGTGAAGGAAGACAACAACCTCACTCTCCAGGAGAAGAAAGAGAAGATCCAGACAGGCTTAAAGAAGCTAACGGAACTTGGAACTGTGAACCCAAAGAACAAATACCAGGAACTGATTAACGACATTGCCAGGGTACTGAATTTGGGGGACAGTAATGGCCTTGCCTTGTTTAAAGTTATTTCAGGGGCTCATAAAGGGATAGTAGTTGCTCAGAGAAGAGCTTCAGTTCACGAATTATCGTCTTCCCCTCTGAGAAACTGTTTCTGACTCTGACTTGAGGACCTTGCTTGTCCTGTTGTAGCTTATTCCATAGCCTAAATTAACAGGGAGAGGATCCTATATTAGAGTTTCCTGGGTCTAAACTTGTCCTTGGCCTTAAAGAATTCTTCAGATCTTTTTCATAGTTACTATGAAGTATAAAGTTGGTCATCAGATCCTTGATTTGTATGATTCATTTCAAGTGAGGGGCTCTAATGTAAGCTGAGAATTTTAGGCATTCTCTGTTATTGCACTAAGGATACCAGGCACACCTAAGAACTCAGTGATTGATGTTCTTATTTTCTCTCTCTTGACAATATATATTAATTTGTGAACCCAGATTGCTGCCTGTTAGGAATGTGTGTTCATGCTCAAGACAGAGTTAAGCATTGCTTGGGTCTAGTGCTGAATAAACCACGATGATTCAAGAGGCACATGGTATCATTATTTTCCTAATCTTAATGCTTATGTTTTAGGACATTCGGAATCAGCGGAGATACCGACAAAGGAGAAAGGCAGAACTGGTGAAATTGCAACAAACATATGCTGCTCTGAATTCTAAAGCCACCTTTTATGGGGAGCAGGTGGATTACTATAAAAGCTATATCAAAACCTGCTTGGATAACTTAGCCAGCAAGGGCAAGTGAGTATTAAAAAAAAATCAATCCAAGGAAAGAATAGGATTGAGTGGGGAAAGAGTACAGGCTATTGAAGTGACATTGAAAAGTTTTACCTAACACAGCCTGGATCTGTTTATCACATTAGTTCTCTATTTTGCTTCTCGTTATTTGCATAATTGGCTACCTCCATTCACTAGTGTATGATGGAAATAATGCAGAGGATGGGGGCAATTTCAAGGATGCTTATACCAGAGCATTCCTAGTTCCAAAATACCTCCTTGAGCTTATAGAAATTAGAGAATCATGAAGATTGGTCATCTAGTGGTCGCAAAATCTAAGTGTGCTTTCAAGTCTCTTAAGGAATATTAGACAAATTTGGATTCCCTAGCCCCTGGGGACAGGATCAAAATCTGAGGAAAATCTGGTACAGCTTTCCTAGAGCTAGTCACAAACCATCAGCATACTCATTACAAGGAGAGACTGAACACCCAGAGAGGTGAGGTGATGAGTGCAGTTTCTACTTGTGAGGTTGGTTTACTTTTCACCCTTAACTCTAACCTCAAGAATTTTCAGCCAGGCACAGCAGTGCATGTCGAAAATCCCAGTGGTTTGGGAGACTGAGGCAGGAGGATCACGAGTTCAAAGCCAGCCTCATCAACTTAGCAAGGCCCTAAGCTACTAAGCAAGACCCTGACTCAAAAAATAAAAAGGGCTAGGGATGTCACTCAGTGGTTAAATGCTCCTGGACTCAATCCCTGGTACAAAAAAAAAAAAAAAAAGAAATATCAAATTTCAGAAAGGTTGAATGAATAGAACAATAAGCACCCATGTATCCTTCACCTAGATTCACTAGGTTTTCATGTTTTGCTGCGTCTGCTTCTCTGTGACTTCTTCACTCTTACACAGGTATACTTTTTGTTTTTTCTCTGGAATGAGGCAGGGCTGATATGTAAGGGATGGGAACCAGACTCACCTAAACTAGCTTGCGGAGCTGACTTCTGTGTCTTTTTGACATGTGTCTGTCATTCCTTGTACATTTCCTGCCTGTCTGGCACATGGTGTTTCAAGTTCAACTTGTAGCTTTGCCTCCCTGGACCTGGAATGAATTATTTGTGCATCACCAATTCTAGTTAATGGTGTTTAGAAACCAAAAATATCTAACAATGAGATGTGCTCATTGCCCAAGTGGCCTCTGCTTTTAGACCTTCTAAGCAGACATAGCCAGGTCCTCATTTCTTTTTTTAATGACTACATACTAATCCATTGTGTAGACAGATAAAACACTTTATTTAATTAATTCTCTGGATAAACTTGTATGTTTGTCATTTTGCAAATGTGAGCTTTATTTCTGAAAATTGATTCCTAGAAGAGGAATTGCCAAGTCAGAATTTCTCTGCAACCTTAATTTTGATATTTCTATATACCTTTCATGGTAATTGTTCCCATTTGCACTCCTACCAGCATTTCTGAAAACCTTCTCCTTGGGAGCCCCAAATATATAGATCTCATTTGTCTCTCCTTCCTTTGCTTACTTATCAACTTCACATCTTGATTATCAAGATATTATCACAACTTGATTATCTTAATAGTCTTCTAATACCCGTTTGTTTTTCCTTACTCCCATTTCTGTGATTGCTATGCTGGCTTAAATGCTTAAAAATTATTTGTGTGAAAAAATTTTCCCTATATATCCTAGGGTTTTGGAGTTACTCCTTAACCCAGGGACTTGTTATGGTTGCCTCAGGCTTGCTTACTTGCTAGTTAGATGTCTAGGTTCCAAGAAGGACATAGAAGCATTAAGACACTGTTGGATCCATCGCAGTATTCTCAAGTATAACTTAAACTAAAGCAGAAGCAGTATAGTAATATTTCCCCTCCCGAGACCACCCTGACAAATCCTAACACTGTTCACCATTCTACAAGTGCTGTGTTACTTAGGCTTATCTAATGAGTTTTCTGGCCTCATTTCTGAATTACCAGTGACTAGGACCCATAGAAAATAGTTACTTATAAAAAAGTGACATATGGCCTGGAGTTGTGGCTCAGTGGTAGAGTGCTCACCTCGCATGTGCGGGGTCCTAGGTTCGATCCTCAGCACCACATAAAAATAAATAAATAAAAATAGAGGTATTGGGCTGAGACTGTAGCTCAGTTGGTAGAGTGCTTGCTTTGCATGTACAAGGCCCTGGGTTCAATCCCTAGCACCACAAAATAAATAAATAAATAAAGATATTGTGTCCAATCGCAACTAAAAAATAATATTTTTTTAAAAAGACTTTTTCTCCCCCCCCCCCTTAAAACAGAGTCTCCAAAAAGCCTAGGGAAATGAAGGGAAAGAAAAGCAAAAAGATCTCTCTGAAATATACAGCAGCGAGACTTCATGAAAAAGGAGTTCTTCTGGAGATTGAGGACCTACAAGTAAATCAGTGAGTATTTATCTTTTTTCCCCCCCTTTTACTTTGTTGGTTTTTAAATTTTTACATTCATCACTTCTTCTTGCCTTTATTTCTCTTTCCTGGTGGCCGCTTTGTATTTTTTATGTATTAATACACATATACATATACAAATAAATATACATATAAAGAAATATATACACCTAATTTTTTTATGTGCAAAGTTTGGCTTCATACAAAATTAATTTGTCATAAAAGAAAATGTATTTCTCTTCTTTGTGGAACATTTGTCTCAGAGCACAGTCACACTTGTTTCTATGTGTGCCTCATCTTAATTTTTCCTTTTTAAAGCAGGAATCCATTTCTTCTGTGTAGACCAAAAATAAGATAACAATAATAAGAAGCATTTACTTGTTGACACCAGCCTGTTATTCCAGTTGTGCAGGAGGCTGAGGCAGGAGGATCTCAAGTTTAAGGTCAACCTCAGCATCTTAGTAACTTAGTGAGACCCTGTTTCAAAATTAGAAGGATTGGGGCTGTAGAACAGTGGTAGAATGTTTGCCTAGCATGAATGAAGCCCTGGATTCAATCCCCAGTACCAAACAAACAAACAAACAAGAGTAAAAGCACTTTATTCTACTTGTAGAATTTTCATTTTCTTTTCTGGGAAGCACTAGCTTGCTTTGTGGATCTGACCCTATGTCTTCCTGAAGGTCCAGAATCATTCACAAACTCAAATATTTATTGAGAGCATCTGCTTAGTTAGCCCCATTGACTTCAGACTGCTGAGCTTTTTCTTTTTGCATCTAGTCAAAAGGAAACTTTTGGGCTGGGGCTATAGCTCAGTGGCAGAGCACTTGTCTAGCATGTATGAGGCACGGAGTTCAATCATTAGCTGCATAAAAATAAATAAATAAAATAAAAGGTGTGCCGTCCATATACAACTACAAAAAAATTGAAACTTTTATATTTTTTTTATTCTAAAATATATATTCAGGGGGCTGGGGTTGTGGCTCAGTGGTAGAGCACTTGCCTAGCATGTACGAAGCACTAGGTTCGATCCTCAGCACCACATAAATGTAAAATAAAGATATTGTGCCCCACCTGAAACTAAATAAATAAATAAATACAAATATATATATATATACACACACATATATATGTATGTATGTATATATATATATTCATTATTGAACTTTGAAAATATGATAAAGCAAAAAGAAAAAGTAAAAGCATTTTTATTCCCATAAGTGAGAGTTAACCACTGAAAATCATTTTAGTATATTTTCTTCTTTTCCCCTGTTCACATGAAGAATATCTATTTTGCCCCACTTAATCTACCTACACATACACACACACACACACATATATATATATGTATGTTGTAGATGGACACATTCTCTATTTTATTTTTATGTGGCACTGAGGAATGAACCCAGTGCCTCACTCATACTAGGTAAGCCACATTCCCCTACTTATTTTCTTAATGTAAATTAGTATGATATTGTTTATTATCAAGTAATCTTTTTTATTTTTGTTTTATTTTTAGAGAGAGAATTTTTTAATATTTTATTATTTTTTTTAGTTTTTGGTGGACACAACATCTTTGTATGTGGTGCTGAAGATCGAACCCGGGCCGCACGCATGCCAGGCGAGCGTGCTACCTCTTGAGCCACATCCCCAGCCCTGGCTCAGAACTTCCTATCCTCTTGCCTCAGCCTCTTGTGTAGCTGAAATTATAGGCATGCACCACTGTGACCAACTGAAAGCATCTCATTTAATGGCTACATAAAATTCTCTAATTTAGCCTATTGTAAACTGCTTAAATTGGTTATATTGGGTGGGGGGAGTAGGAGACAAGGTCTTGCTATGCTGCCCAGGCTGGTCTTAGGTTCCAGGACTCAAGCAGTCCTCCCCTCTGACTGGGACTAGAGGCCCATGCTACCACTCTAGTATTTGTTTTAAATAGTAGATGTCTAGAAATGGAATTTCTGGTTAAATAAGTTTAAAAAATTATTTTATTATAAAAAATGCTATCAACCATTTTTAAGGGTACAGTTTATCTGTGTTCATTGAATTCACATTGTTGTGCAACAGACCTCTGAAGTTTTTCATCTTGCAAAATTCTGCCCATTAAATGGCATCTCCCTGTTTCCTCCTCCTGCCAGTCTCTGGCAACCACCATTTTAGTTTCTGTTCTGTGAATTTGACCATGTTACCTCATAAATGAAATCAGACACTATTTATCTTTGTTGCTGGCTTATTTCACATACCATAGTGTCTCAAGGTTCATCCATGTGACAGGATTTCCTTCCTTTTTAAGGCTGACTAATATTCTATTGTATGTATTACCACATTTTGTTTATCCATTCATCCGTTGATGGATGCATGTGTCGTTTCCACCTCTTGGCTAGTGTGAATAGTGTTGGAACAAATGTGGGTATGTAAATATCTCTTTGAGATCCTGCTTTTAATTCTTTGGATATGTACCCTAAAATGAGATTGCTATATCAGATGGCAGTTCTAGTTTAATTTTTTTTTTTTAAAGAGAGAGGGAGAGGGAGAGAGAGAGAGAGAGAGAGAGAGAGAGAATATTTTTTAATATTTATTTTTCATTTATCGGCGGACACAACATCTTTGTTTGTATGTGGTGCTGAGGATCGAACCCGGGGCCGCATGCGTGCCAGACGGGCGTGCTACTGCTTGAGCCACATCCCCAGCCCTAGTTTAAATTTTTTGAGGAGCTGTCATACTGTTTTCTAGTTATATTCTTATCAAGGTGGGAGAAGGAGATAAAAAGAAGACCCCTTTGGGGGAAAATTGTCTGTTCAGCTGAGCTTGGGAAAGAACTGAAAGAAGCCAAGTGTTTCAGTGTGTCTAATTTAGCCTGTGCACTCTGATTTCATTTATGAGGTTGAAGGAAAAAATATAAACTCTTAACACATGTTGCCAAAATATTTCCCATTAGTGTCTGAAGTATATATGAGTACCTCTCTCACTATTTCCTTGCCACCACTGAATAATGAATAAGATAATTTTTTATTTTAATAGTTAAAAATATCTCCTTAAAATTGTGGGTATTTAGACTGAGTAATACAATAATAGCAGTTTTACTTTGGTCATTCTCAGTGCATTTAAATATACAGCACCTACCCTTTCCAGAAAACCTCCTCTTCCTCTTGTTCCTTTTACTAACTCCCTTTGTTTTACTTACTCAATTCTCCCAATCCTCAAATGTGCATGCATCCTGTACCCAAACACAAATGCTCTCCCTCCAGCCACTTTCCTCAGTTTATCAACCAAGTTTCAACAGTGACCATGTGGAAGACCAAAGGAATTCTCTGATGTCACCCTTTCACAGGTCTCTTGTGGTATTCCCCAGTAGCTCCTCTTTGAGTAGAATGCAAATGCTGTGGAGAGAGGTCACCATTCTTCCCTCCAGGTCCCAAAACAAAGGGTACCGAGCAATGGCAGTCCATGCTCCTTCACCTGCAGCAGGACTTTGAACCTGTACCTCTGCCCCTTTTCACTCATGAAGACTGAATTCATCCCTTTTCCCAGTTCGCAGAATATTATTCTATGAGAACATAAAAAGCACACCCATATGCTATGTTTCAACAGGTTTAAAAATGTTATCTTTGAAATCAATCCAACAGAAGAAGTTGGAGACTTTGAAGTGAAAGCCAAATTCATGGGAGTTCAAATGGAGACATTTATGCTACACTATCAGGTGGGTATGCACAGGTAGAACCAAAAGCTTCTCTGTGAGGTAAGTTATATTCTTATCAAGGTGGGAGAAGGAGATAAAAAGAAGACCCCTTTGGAGGGAAACTGTCTCTGTTCAGCTGAGCTTGGGAAAGAGCCAAAAGAAGCCAAGTGTCTCAATGTGTCTAATTTGGCCTATGCACTCTGCAGAGCTTTCCAAGATGTGTAAATCTTCAGGAAGTGTTTAAAGGAATCTTCCACCTAAGTGTTGCCAATAAATTGAGCTGATACCTTGGACTTGAATGAAAGGCTTAGGTGAAAGGGTTGACAGTATAGTTTGAATTTTTTTTCTTCTTTGATTTGATATTAGTACTTAAAGTTTAGTTTTTGTCTTTTTTTTTTTTTTGGTACTGAGGATTGAACCCAGGGGTTCTTTACTACTGAACTACATCCCCAGTCCTTTTTATTTTTGATTTTGAGACAGGGTCTCACTAAGTTGCTGAGGCTGAACTGGAACTTGTGATCCTCCTGGCTCAGTCTGAGTCCCTGGGATTACTGGCGTGCACCACTGCACCCTGATAGGTAGGGTTAGATGTTTTCTGATGAGGTATGTGTAAATTGTGTCTTTGTAAATTGAGTCCCATTTTAAATTCAAAAAGAACTCAGCAGGGATTCCCTGATTTTTACTTTAAAAATCTAATATTTTCACATTTAAAAAATATTAGGGGGGCTGGGGATGTGGCTCAAGTGGTAGCGTGCTCGCCTGGCATGTGTGAGGCACTGGGTTTGATTCTCGGTAACATATAAAAATAAAGATATTAAAAAAATATATTAGGGCATTGAGAGGATTTCTAGCAATGTGTAACACTTTATAAATTTTGTTTTGTTTTGTTTTGTTTTGTTTTCCTTCTGTGCTGAAGATCAAAACCAGAGCTTCATGCATACTGGTCAGGCTCTCTGCCACCAAGCTGCACCCCAGGCTCTATAGGCTATTACTGTCCCATTTCTCATAGTGCTACACTCTGTCAAACTGGGCGGGTGCCTTGCTGTAAACATGCACATGAACATGTTGCTCCCTTTACTTGGGCACCCTTCCTCCCCTTCCCATCCCTTTTATTCCTCCATCTAATAATGAATACTTGTCCCCAGCCATACTGCAATAGTTGGTCACCCCTTTGCCTTAGTAGCCCTGACATCCTTTGTTTATAGTACATGTTGACGCATTTCCCTCCCAACCCCCAAAACTGTGCCACTCCTTAAGAACAGGTAGTATATCTTAGTCATCTTTGTTTCTTTCTCAGAAGCCAGTAGCCTCTCAAAGTATATTGGCCAAACAAATGTGAAATGATTTTGTAATACAAATAGCTAACTGTTTCCACACAAAAAGGATCCACTTTTTCCCTCATTTTCACCAAATGCATATAGGCCTACCAGTCTGCCTAAGGTAGTTTATTCATTCCTGCTCAAGTTCCAGACTTGATGTGGGGTGCCAGGTGTTATGTTAGGCATAGGCGACACAATGGTCCCCACTCTCTGGAACTGCTAAGATTTATCCAAAAGGTGAATTTTGAACTTTTGGGTTCCTTTGAGCCCTTTGACCCTTGCTTTCGAATTCCCACTCCTCTACAGTGTACAAGTGGGAGGACTACACCAATAGTAGTGAAAGCAGCAGCTTTGTAATCAGGTCTGGAGTCATCATGACCAGTTCTGTTCTGCTGAGCACATCATTCAGCATCTCTGAGCCTTAGGAGATCATCTTCAAACCTGGTGTGATCTTACTTCATAGGATTTTTGTGAGGACTTAAAAACATACCATATAATGTGCCTAAACAATGCCAGCACAGAGTAGGCTCCTTAATAAATGTTTTATTTCTTGCCTTCAAGACAGAAAAAATTTCTCACGTGAAACAGAAATTAATTAAGAATCTAATGGGCAGGGGGCATAGCTCAGTGGTAGAGCACACATTAGCATGCAAGAGACCTTGGGTTCAATCCCTAGTTAAAAAAAAAAAAAAAAGAATCTGATAGATATTATGAAGACATTACTAGCCTTGTCTCACTTTCTTTGTTTTTTGTTTTGTTTTGTTTTGTTTTTTTGGTGCTGGGGATCGAACCCAGGGCCTGTGCATGCAAGGCAAGCACTCTACCAACTGAGCTATATCCTCAGCCCCTCTAACTTTCTTCTTTTAAAATATTTTTTTTAGTTGTAGATGACACAATACCTTTACTTTACTTATTTATTTATTTTTATGTTGTGCTGAGGATTGAACCCAGTGTTTCCAATCCGCTAGGCAAGCTCTCTACCACTGAACTATAACCCCAGCCCCTCTTGCCTCACTTTCAATGATTAGTATATTTCATCATGTCTTGTAATGCTTCTACCTTTTCTAGATTTATTAAACCTGGTGACCCACAATGAAATGAAGTGGGAAAATGTCATTTTAACTTCTGAAATAAAAAGAGTTTTGCAATGCTGGGAATGGAAGCCAGGGTCCTACACATGGTAGGCAAGTGCTATACCACTGAGCCATATCCCTAGCCCGCTGAAATAAAAAAGGCTTAGAAGTATATGTGTGATAACTGAACATACTTTTTCTTTTCATGTTTGGTGTGTTTTAAATATAAACAGAATGTCTCCCTATTGCCAGATTAACCAGAAGGTCCCTTTGCCAACTTGTCTGTATGTTCCAGCTCCCAGGGTAGCTCTGCAGGGGACAGATAATTCTATATCTAGAAACTTCTGTCTCACCCCGCTTTGCATCTGGCACACGAGGCATGCTTTATTCCTTCTGGATCCCTCACTACGTTGTGTCCTTTCTTGTTCCACAGATTTGATTGACTGTCAAAATGGTTGTTTTGTTTTGTTTTTAGGACCTGCTGCAGCTACAGTATGAAGGAGTTGCCGTTATGAAATTATTTGATAGAGCTAAAGTAAATGTCAACCTCCTGATCTTCCTTCTCAACAAAAAGTTCTACGGGAAGTAATTGATCATTTTGCTGCCAGCCCAGAAGGGTGAAGGAAAGAAACACCTCACCGCTTCTTTCTAGGATCCTTCTTTACTCGTTGGAAGCAGAGGCTCACCCCACAATGATGCCCCACTTCAGTACTCTCCCAATGCCCCATTTTATCTTCTTTCACTCTAAGAGACATTTGTTGCCCATTTTTTCATAGTGAAATTGTATTTCAGACTTAGTATGACCCTTCTGCTTCCTTTGTTTTCTTTCATCATTTAGGAAGGAGTGGAAACTCCACCAAAATCCCTTGCTGTTGTTATAGCCTTTGAAGTGGTATTACTATTTTGTAAGCTTTCGTGTTTGTTTTACTTAGTAATAAGGATAGTGGAGTTCAAATTATTGTTATTTAGAAGTGGAATTAGCATCAATAACAGGTACATATAACATACACAAAATGTCAGGTTATCAACAGTTATTAGGTTGTCATTTAAAAGTGAAGCTCTCTCCTGGGCATGGCGGTACACGTCTGTAATCCCRGCAACTTGGGAGGCTAAGGCAGGAGGATCACAAGTTGGAGGACAGCCTCAGCAATTCAGTGAAACCCTGTCTGTAAATAATATACAAAATAGGGCTGGGGATGTGGCTCAGTGGTAAAGTGTCCCTGGGTTCAATCTCCAGTAGTACCAAAAAAAAGAAAAAAAGAAAAGTAAGGCTCCTTTATATTTCTGTCCCACCAGTAAAATCAAAGGATATAGGGGATCATTGATTCTCTTCCATTCTTTTTTTCTTTGTAGGCAGGAGCTAATACAAATCATTGTTCTCTGTTCAAATAAAACAGGTTTAGAAAAAAAAATATTGTGTTTAAACTTCATTATCAAATTTGGGCAACGTTGTTAGTACAACCCCTTCTCCATTGGATGAGAGAGTCCCACTGATAATGTTCAGCTGTCTAAGTAGACGCAGAGTGGGCTGAGTGCCCACCTGTGTACACCCATGTGCAGAGATTAACTAATTCAAAGTCTTCTCCATCCGAAAGGAATGGGTTAGCCTTAGGGTAGAAGGTAATTATTTTTTAAACTGTTTTGTCTTCAGAGTGCCTTATTAAAGCATAGATTTATTTCTTAAAATGTGATAGGAATTTTAAAGATTTATATAATGCTTCAAAAATCTTTGGAATACTCTTGAGAAAAGGTTTTTTAAAATTGTTTTATCTGTATATCTGAACTCTTGAAACTTTCTTATAGCTAAAACACTAGGTTTTATCTGCACTATTGCAGAGAGATAATCCTGCCTTAAATAGCCAAAACAAAAACCAGCAAACCTATATTATACTTGAGATTAAAATAAAATTTTCTTCCCATTTCTTTCTCTTCTCTTGCTGTTGACAGTTGTGCCTTTATTTTATGAACCCCAATTTTCTAGGCTTAGTTAAAACCAATTCAATTCTAAATAGAGTTTAGGAAGCTTTTGGTTCTTGGATAAAAAGTCATAAGTGCTACCCCCCCCCCTTAATCTGTTTATCCTGAAAAAATATTGAAATCATGCTACTGAGCCTGCCAATTTTTTCTGAAGTTTTGGTTCAGTATTTTTTTTAATCATAAAACATATTATGAACTAACATTTAAAATTTTACTTGTGTATATTTAAGGCCAATAAACTGTTTTGATGAATAGAAAGTTATGTGGTGTGTCCCTATGACAAATGTTAAGTCTTGGATAAGTGTTTTGCATGATAGGCTGTCTGTGCAGCCTGGGTGCAGCCCACAGGGAAGTGTACAGTGGAAGGATTTGCCACTTGCCCTGTCCTTGTTTTTGGAAGACAATTTTTTTAGCAAATATTTTCCTCAGATGAAAAGAAGATGCTCTAACAACCAGCATCACCTCAAACACTGGAACTAAAAAAGCGTGTCAACCCCGTTTCCTTAAAAGAGGATACCCATCCCAAATACGTCCCAAAACCTGCTTCCAAGACAGGAATGAACAAAGTTTACAACTCCTTTAATAAAATAGGATAATTCAATTATTTTAAATATTTTGTTCCCAAAATAACAATTTCTAATGCAAAGTAACCCAAATGCACTTCAGGAGTTTTGGTGCCAGATGTATAGAATTATTGTTTTAATAGCACAGGTATCACTCCAACAAGCTCTGAAGTCGCAACACTGTTACCATGTAGCACTTTTATTTTATTAGCGATAGCATTCCCTGTCTCATCTCACTTTTTCTTTGACCTTCTCTTTGACCAACCATCATGACATTTACCATGAATTTACTTCCTCCCAAGAATTTGAACTGCCCATCAGATTGTTGCTACACACAATTGCCTTTGTATCTCTTTATGAAATAAAAGGTCATTTGTTCCTGTTTATGTTTATTTTTCTCGGTTTCATTGTTAGCAGTTCCTGCTAAACAGTGTTGACTAGGGTGAGATTTAATAATTAAAAACCACAACAAAAGCAACCCCTCTACATCCTTAGCCTTTTTTTTTTTTTTTAAGTTGCTGAAGCTGGTCTCGAACTTTTGATTTATCTGCCTCAGCCTCCCCAGTAGCTGGGATTATAGATTGAGCACTAGATTTCAAAGTAAAGTTTACCAGGATCCAGGGCTTCACACATGCTAGGCAAGCACTCTACCACCGAGCTAAATCCCCAGCCCTCCATTTTATTTTTTATTTTGAGTTACGGTCTTGCAAAGTTGCCCAAATTTTTGGCCTTGATTTTGGATTCACCTGCCTTTACCTCCCAGTAGCTAGGATTTTCAAGCATGTGTACCACAATGCCCAGCTCCTTAGGTGATTTTTAATGTGCAAATTTAGCCTTTTAACTTTTATTACACTTAAAGTAGTCTTAAAAGGAATGTGGGGATGGGCTGGGGTTGTGGCTCAGTGGTAGAGCGCTTATCTTTATGTGTGAGGCACCACATAAATAAATAAAGGTATGATGCTCATCTACAACTAAAAAAAAAAAAGTAAAAAAAATGTGGGGGGCAGACTAATGCCACTTAAATTCTGATTGGCTAATTAATGACCAAAGGTTTAAATTGCAGCAAGTTTTCACCTTTTTGCAGGTACTAGGGATTGAATCCAGAGGTGCTATACCAGTGAGCTATATCCCCTACCGCCACCATCTTTTTTTTTTCTTTTTTTATTGTTGGTCATTCAAAACATTACATAGTTCTTGATATATCATATTTCACAGTTTGATTCAAGTGGGTTATGAACTCCCATTTTTACCCCGTATACAGATTGCTGAATCACATCAGTTACACTTCCATTGATTTACATATTGCCATTCTAGTGTCCGTTGTATTCTGCTGCCTTTCCTATCCTCTACTATCCTCCCTCCCCAAGAGGAAGTGAGGGGTAAGGGAAGAATAATACAAGTGGAAGAAATGATTTACCGCCACCATCTTTTAAAAATTTTTTCTTTGAGACAGGTTCTTGCTAAGTTGCCCAAGCTGGCCTTGGAATTTGAAATCCTGCCTCAGTCACCTGAGTACCTGGGATTACAGGCATGTACCATCATGCCCACCTTACATTATTCTACGGACAGCAGTACACCAGGTGTTGAACATGCAGTCATGGTGCACTTCTCCAGGTGGGGGCTTCTGCTAAGTTAAGTGCAAGTCACCAGAGAAGGCTAGGGGCTGTTGGGGATAAAAAGTAAACAGCAATAATAAAAAAGAAAAAATGGCCTCGTTAAAAGGCAACCTTACATAAAAATGCATGTATGTAAGCATCCTGTTGTCTTTGAACACCCGCCAAACTGTTGGAAAATTAGTATGAAATTAGAGGGAAACTGAATCACACTGTAAGTAGGCCTGTGTGAAGAGTTGGGAGGTGATGGTTTGTGTGAGTGGCTGGCAATGACTCCCGACAGCTCTGAGGAAGAGCCTGTCTTTCCCTGCTGGGGGACCTTTAGGAATTTATCCCTATCTTTGGTTTTCTTTTTCTGGAACCGAGATAGTGTTGCATGGTATGTTTGTTATTGAAAATTCAGGTAGGTTTTAAGGACTTGTGCTCTACATTTTCCTTCAAGGGAATGAGGTGTTTATCCAGGGCTAACATTCAATAAGGAAAACAAGACAGGGAAGATCAAAATAGGAAGGTTTCATGAAACCTGGGAGTGACACTGGAAAAGGAAGTGAAGATCAGAATCTTCAGGCTGCCCAGAGCCATCACAGCGGTGCTGGTTGCACAATTGTTGCCCATTTAGCTCTGAAAAGAATTTGGGAAAACTTACATGTTCTCTATAGATTTTAAGTGTGACAACTTTAAAAAAAAAAATTATGAGTGTATCATTGCAAACATATTGTAAATTCTGAGATAAAAATTACCTGGAAGTATGAAATGGAACCCACCATCATTCATTTTAAAAGGTACATAAACAAAGCTCTTGGCTAATTAGAAATTTTGTATCTTTTTAAACTCATGTTTCTATTCCACTTCCCTCACACTTTTATACTAGTTTTGTTTGGGTACTAGAGATGGAACTCAAGTCCTTGAGCATGCTAGGCAAGCACTTGACCTCTGAACTACATTCCCAGCCCCCTAATGTAATATTTCAAAACCATTTTTTATCATCTTGTCATAATTGCTAAAAACTTATTTTGTGATCATAATAGTTTGCATCATTACAATTATTGTTAGTACATGTTTGATCATAGTAACAGTGTATTGTCTTAACAAAGGATTCTAAAAAGTATTTGGAATTCATTTCTTGAGATAGATGGTTTTTTAAAAGTGAAATGTTTTTTTAAAAAAGTAATCCCAGCAACTTGGGGGTCTGAGGCACGAGGATCCCGAGTTCCGAGGCCAGCCTCAGCAACTTGGCAAGAAAAAAATAGTTGTTAAAAAGGACTAGAGGGCTGGAGTTGTGGCTTAGCAGTGGAACACTTGCTTAGCACCGTGTGAGGCTCTGGGTTCGATCCTCGGCACCACATAAAAATAAATAAAATAAAGGTGTTGTATCCAACTACAACTAAAAAAATTTTTTTAAAAAAGTCTGTAGTTGTAGTGCAGTGTACAGCACTTAACCTGGCATGTCTGAGGGCCCTGGGTTCAATTCCCAGTACTGCAAAAAAAAAAAAAAAAAAAAAAAAAAGTTTAAGAAATTTATGAGTAAATATATTCTTACTAAAATGAGATAAGGTTTATGACCAATTTTTCATGTTTATAAATATAAGCCCTGAAAAACATTGAGGTGTTGGTGTTTTATTATAGCAATGTTACTTATTTCTTAAGACTCCTTGGGGGGGGGACCCTTAATGACTTGTAACAAAAAAAGTACAACCTGATTAGAATCCCCAATTTTGTTGATAGCAAAAATGAAGGTTTGAGTTGTAGTTATGTGGCACAGTGCTTGCCTAGCACAAATGGGGCCTTGGGTTTTATCCCCAGCACCACAAAAGAAAAAAGAAAATTATCAGAATTGGAAAAGGAATTATTATCCAGTCATTATTCCTTTCTTGGACTTGAGCAGTAGACAAGGGTCTTGACCAAGACTTTTAAAAGATTTTTTTTTTGGAAGGGGGGGGGTGCCAGGGACTTTACCACTGAACTACATCCCCAGTACTTTTCATTTTTATTTTTTTA